CGGAGGTGGAGGGTGGCTCGCACCACATGGATGTAGACGATGGGAAGCCGTAGCCATCTAGGCTGTTACGAGGCAGCCAAGGCATGGAGTCGGAAGTCGAGGAACCACATCCATTGTCGCCATTGGCCTTGGTAGGTTGGCGACATCAAGGGCCCCGGTAACAGGACAGGCAGGCCGGCGTGGCTTGTGGTGATTGTCGTGATTGCTTCCCCCTGTTTCCCCGTATCACTCAATTCGTCTATGCTTGGAGGAGGTCGAGCACCGGGCATTGAGTGGGGCAAGGGTCTCTATTGGCGTCGAGCCGTTCGATTTCAGGGTTCCAGAAGGCAGTACTTCGGATCGAAGGGTGTCAGATTTCTTCCATTTTGCTGGTGCCACGATAGAAGACGGAGAGGAAGTTGCGTGGATGTCTTGGACGGAGACAAAGAACGGCGCGCACGGCTATGGTTGAGGAGAGAAGTTGGAGGGATGAGAGAATCGGAGAGAACGGGACTGGTGGAGAATGGAGGTATCGGTACAGCTTGTGTGGGGTGAGAGGTACATAGATCAGGTACGTATCTTGCGTTAGACCCCCAATCGTGTCATGCACTGCACTCCAGGGGACACTGCAGAGTCGTTAGCGCCATGGGTGCGCGGTCGGGAGCCTTCAGCACCCTGCGATAAGGATTTAGTTGATGTCGCTTCGGGGTCTTGACGCCTAAGCAACAGATCTGATTGGTTCATAGCAAAGGTACTCGCTGCTGATACCGATAACGCCGCCCAGGCGAGGCGGATAAGGTTCCCGATCGTCCCAAATTGGCACCGTTGGCGCCCTCTAAGGTAAGGTGGGTAGTTTTCGGCATGCGCGAACCTCCTCAAGCTCCTGCCTTTTGTTCCTTCCTCGCTCTTCTGTCCGATCTTTTTCCTCCGCGAGGCAATTCAGAACTTTCATTGTCAATCACCAACCCATCCACCCTCCATTTGAGGCAAGAAGCCACATAGCATCGTGCTTCCGATACTCGGTCGCTAACCTTCGTCTTCGACAACACCACCCGTGGACCGTGTTACACATCTACCCGGCAGGCAATAGTACAGATACGCAAAAGGTTCTACGGATAGACATTCCGCATGCCCATCATCAGTCGCGTCTGACAGGCCTGGTCCCGTTTGTCTTTTACGCTTTGTGTTTGTGTTTGTAAAACGAGGTCGGCAAGCTTGCGGATATCTACCACCACCAACACCACCAACCAAGATCCACTCCGGTTGGTATCCTCCATCCGACCTTGCCGTTGGAACTTGGGGCAACGTTGAAGGTGCACCATCTATTCACACGGCCGGCCTACGGGCACCTTAGTATACCTGAGCTCAGTCAGGGTTCAAGCTCGACGGTGGCAATTAATTCTTGATTCACACTCGATCAGCAATCTCCATACTTCAGCATGAGGGCATTCCCAGTATGCCATTGGGGGCAAACGCCTATGCTGACTGCCTCACGGCTGCCTGGCATCGCGTTCCATCGTCAACCTACCTCAACTCATGGTTCACGAGGTTCATTGGCCAGCGCGATATAAACTGGATGCACAGCTTAGGCAACGACATTGCTTAACCTGGTCAACAAGCAGACCAACCTCTCAGCGCAGCCAGACTACCGTTGACTATTGTGGTTTCTGATCAGGCTGCCTCTTGATAACCCCGCGATGTACGACAACCGCAGAGAGGCTCAGCTTCAGCCGTACGCAAGCAACCCTACAAACTCGCCCCGAACGGGATATCTGTACGCTGTCACACTCTCGTATACCACTTCTGGACGACGTTGCAGCAATCGACGCTTGCCAGAACCTTAATCATCCCGCAATTGATGAGGTTCACTTCGACGCTTTTTCCACTTCAACTCACACATGGAGATGCTCTCCTCCAAAGGGACCAACGAACATTTCCCTCTTATCAAGTTGCCTCGAGACATTCAAGAGCTACGGAGTAGACCCTGGCGATTTCTGCCCCGACTTTGGACGGATTAAGATAGATCATCGCAGCACGATAACCCAAGATACCTCCAGCCCGCCCCCGAACAACGCGCCCGCCTACCACATCCGCTCTAGGCCCACGTTGCCACTAGTGAACGCTGTTACTGGGTTCCTCCACTGGCTTGCGGCGGTGCAGGGGTAGGCGACAGGTCACACATGCACGAAGCGCGAGGAGGATTGATAATGGAATCCGGGGATATCGAGGCGACGACGAGGTGCGAAACCCATATGTGCCATGGCTGAAGTCCATGCAGCATTTCCAGCCTCCTGTACGAGACCCCGACAACGGCATAGCATATTATTGGCCTGGACACTGTGACATTCTACGGATACAGATGCACAATGCAGGAGGTGGCAAGGGCCATTTTCCTCCACTAAATCTGCCCCATTGCACCTCATATCGCTTGTCCCAAGCAGCATCCGACCAGACTCAAGCATGTCAACAATCACAGTGTGCCGCATTGCAGCACTGCGTGGTGCGTGGTGCTCTCTCGTCCAAGCTTCAACAAGATTCACGGCCTCAGTAACGTATCGTCCGCCTTGTTTGACATGGCTTCTTGCCATTCGTCTCGTGCGCGAACCGGGAGACACCGCATGCGTCCGAGCCGATGTTGGCGTAAACCCAACGCCGGCACCAGTATCCCGTCCCGTTCTGGCCCAAAACAATATCCTACATGGCTACAGACTACAGATAGTATGCATTTCAGCAATATTGACAGCTCGTCTATCGCAATCACCACCAACGTATAATTGATGGCGATCATACATAAGACTCGACGCTGATTAGTCGGTCAGTATTTCTCGCGAGAGCATGCAACCTGACCTCCCTATCGTGTCCCTCTCCAGCAGCCTGGGGGGCCTCGTTTTTGCACGAACAACGCACCGTGCCGCTGGGCCATTGGCAAAGCGATTCCCTATCTCAGGTAGAGGTACTCAAGGCATATGGACCGACACAGCGGCCAACGACATCAGATGAGACCACCAAGGACCCAGGCTGATTCGTGTCACTCTGGCCAGGAGCATGGACGGGAAAACGGAAGGCAGAAAATGCAACCAAAGACAGAGAGAAAAAGGGGACCGAGGAACTAATCACACCCACCCAACCCGGTGCCAGCCACTTTTGGCCGAGGACCCTGAGTCGGTGTGGATGGACCCTGATCGTCCAAAGCACCGGAAACACGCCAGTGGCAACAAGGCCCAGGCCGTGCTACGGAATAGCCGTTCCGAATGCGTTGAGACACCGAAGAAAAGGGTTGATTTGGTAACGGCTTTCGCATATCGTGGCAGCGTCGTACCGAACTTGACGCCCAAAAACGTCGCATTACATGTCCGTAGAGGATTAGAGGCATGTACTTGCACACCGACTCGCTGGCTTCGGATACTTACCGCTTTGGGTCAAGGTCTGGACTGAGTGCCCCTTGTCGGACGACGTCCGCTGCCTCACCGACTTCACCGTTTCCTCCGATCCCGCAGCTCCATCCTCTTTTGGCGTTCCCACGTTCCCAGCTGCCATCATGCCATCCAAGCACGTCTTCTGCACGATGTGTTCCTGGACCTGCATCCGCTTCTCCATCATTTACTTGATGAATTGGACTTTGTGCGATCGTTGTTCGGTGCTTTGTTTCAAGCATGCTGGATGTTCGCATCTCACCCCCACTTACAACAATGGGGTCGGAGAGATCTGGACTGGAACATTCAGCTTATATTCATCTCCCTGGCCAAGTGGACTGGGTTATGCTTCGCGTCTCCATGTAATAAGTATTCCATGCAGTGTGGAGGAACTATGGTTACCAACATTCATTGGTGCAGCTGTTATTGTCTCTTAGAGGTACCTCATGATGGAGTTCAGAGAAATACCAGTCAACACAGCCACTGCTGCAAATGCTTCGTAACGAGATATCCAATGTACTTGAAGCCATCAAATTAGGTTGGCGAGGCTCTTTAGCGAAGAGTCCTTGGGTCTAGCTTGTGTAGAAGACTTGCCATAGTCACTTTCAATCACCTTGGTAGAAACATGGGTGTGAAATGCAACCGGACCTTCTTCCCCCGACCTTACCTCGATGGTTTGGTTGTCCTTACATGTAGGCTTGCTCTCGATTATCGATCATACATTTCTGACCGTTACTGGTGTCAGGCTTTGTCGGCGTTAAGCCGCTCATCAAGGTAATAGGCTGAGCGTTCCCGCTAAAGTATGTTCCATATAAGTCTACATTGGTGCGCCAGAGCCGGTGTTGCTGGCAGTGCTCTCCACCATGTTGAATATCAATTACTTAGGCCTTGTACTCTGTTGTGGTTCATACTTACCTGGATGGTCGTCTAGTAGTTAGCGGGAAAGCCGTGTCCTGTTGAACCAACGCACAAAGAGCTTCGAGCGAAGGTTTCATGGTCTGTAGACTCGATGCAGCAACGGTCTTGGTTATTTGGTGGCGTTAGCTTTACATATAAACTGCCTATCTTCGGTAGTTTGACATCAAAGTTCAATCTCATGGCGCCTGATTCTAGTGCCTCATCTCATGGGACCCCAGCTCTTGGGCCAGAGCCTGGCCACCTAAAAACGCCAAACTGCAACTTTCTGGTCTCTCAAAAGCTCCAATTTGTCTGTCCACGAACGAGCTCATCTCCCACTATAGGGTGTATAAGAAGAGTTCATGATGCTCGTGGGAGTCATTCTTCTAGTCATCGGAGATAGCTCTTATCCTAATTGTACGGCCACCGACTCCACGACCAGACGGCAGCCTTTGGGCGGCACCCTGGAGTCAAAGGTGTACGTTTCGTAACTATCGGAGATGGGTTCCGGAGATCTCATAACATCCCTTCTCTCGTCCTCTGTAGGAGGAGAAAGCACCGCCTCTCTCTCGATGCTGCAGCCCATTCTTCCGTGCCCAAGACTTATCAGTTTTGAGTACACAAACGCTTCACCGCACTTAGTTTCCCTGAACCAAACTCTCACACTCATACCATCTTACCCATCTTACCATTCTCACTATCTATTACACAATGTCAACCAACGGGGAAGCCGAGCGCAAACCCAGTCGTCCGGCCTGGCGACGTGCGGTTTTAGCACACATCAAACTTAGCACTCTCGAAAGACGCAAGCACCACACAGAGGAGCAGCAGAGATCTGTCACTCCTTTTCAGGTGGCTTACAACCAGCAAGATATCGTCGAGCCAGCCCCAGTTCACCTTAACGGTAATTCCAGGACCAGCTTCGTCGAAGACCTGGAGATCATAGCTGAAGAAATAAATACTCTTCACCCGAACGCCATGGATACACACGACTTCTTGACTAGCGAAGAGATCTACGATTCAGGTCCCATAACCCAGCCAGCGTCCATTGGTCATTTCAATACTCCCAACGGAGGCTATCTTATCTCGCCCTTGGCCAGCCTTCTGGTCAGCTTGGACCACGGATACAACCGAGCGAGCGGCATATACGACAAAGTCGGTGACCGGTCGGAACAGGATGAGGACTCGAGCAACGAGGGCTTGATTCCTCCCCATAATACACCAGTCGACTCTGGGGACGTCAGCCCCGTCAACACGCCAGCTCGAGCCCCATCATTGGATCGCGGCCCGAGTATCCGGCTCCAAAGAGCATTGGCAGAAGACCAAGCGGCCTCGGAACCCCTCAAAAGGCCGATCAGCGAGCTCGTTGCTTCTAGCGAACCGCTCTCCCCATCTGGTACCCAAAACGGCCTTCTTCAAGCGGCTGAACGAGCGGGCGTCTGGCGTAATATGATTGGCATGCCTTTTACAGAAGAAGAGAAGATGAAGTTGGTACAGAAGAGGCGCGATCATGAGGCGGAGATGGTGCGGCGTCTTCGGGCAGGCCTCGAGACGAAGATCGAGAAGAGGCCCTGCTACCTGCTTTGGCTGGAAGGGAGGCACCAGCTCTCGACGGAGCGAATGTTGGCGTCAGCTACGATACGTCTTGCGGATTACGCGGAGGGGCATGAGGCGGTCGGTCTGTTTCGGGAGCGCAGACGTCGTCAAGACTTCCGTGGGCAGGCGTCGGTCTGAGATACTCCCGCATATCTCTGAACTACAATTTCCAGCTGCAGTAACATAGATAGTCGTAATCACCACTGCCCGACCAGAGTCTGCCTCGAGCGCAGGAAACTATACGAAAGTGCTTCAGCGGTTTCTTGGGCAAAGCTGCCGGGTAAGGTCGAGACAGGCGGCATGGGCGGCACGAGTCAATCGCAGCCGCAACACAGAGGGGTAATGAGCATCAGGTACACATATGAGAGAGACGGACAGAGACGAAGTGCAGGCCTTTAGAATAGGCATATCGGTGATATCGAGCCGCCTGTATCAATTGGTCTGTATAGGTACCTGAGATTATAATGCCATGCAATGACCCGTCCATGATATTTGACCTTGTATCGTGACTCTCGACATGCGTGAACCCATCTACAGTCTAAAAAGTCTCCCACGTCATGCGAACAAACCCATGTCATTGGAATGCCTACACTTGCACATCACTCTCAGTCGTCACAGCACCCTTCTTCGAGACGGGCTCGCCAGGCTCAACTGCACCATAACTCAGCCCCTCACCCGCCCCCAGTCCCCTCTCCTCTTCAGGCACAAGCACAGCCCTCTCCTGATTCTTCTTGTCGATGTTCCTCCTCCAAGGTCGGTACACCACCACCGAACCGATCCCGACAACGACAAAGAGACCGCAGATGCTGCCGCCGATAATGTCAAAGTGCTCTCCGATGGCGTCGACGCCGTCCCAGAAGCTGCCTTCGGGCTCGGCGACATTGGCGATGAGCGACAGAACCTGGATTATTCCGATAAAGGCCGAGACGAAGACGGTAATGCCGGTGAGGACGATGGAGTAGTAGAGGATGGCGACGCGGTCGCGCGAGAAGGCCTTTGAGGTGTAGAGGGCCATCATGAGGGCGCCGTCGGTAGTGTCGAGCATGCACATACCGGCTATGAGGAGTCAATAAATGCACATAAAATATGACATGCAAACTCACCTGTGAAAAGAACGGGAAAGATGAGAATGAGCCAGATGCTCGTCCCCTGCGCACCATGCACACTCGATAACCCAAGAATAGCAATCTCGGAACTCGTATCAAAGCCCAACCCAAACAGAATCCCCAAAGGAAACATCTTCCAAGGCCGGTCAACGACACGGAAAACCTTTCGAAACACATTCGCCAGGAACCCCTCGCCCTCCAACTTGAGATTCGTCGCCGCGTCGCCCTCGTCCTCCTCGGTGGGCGTGTACCCCTCCATCCCGCGCCGCCTCTCCTCCTCCAGCACAACCCGCAGCCTCCGGATGAGCTTATACAGAACCCACCCGTTCCCAGCACACAGAAGCAGCAGGAACGCCGCGCTGACGCTCGTGCCGATGATGTTTCCCACGCGCGTGAAGCCGTCGAAGCGGTCCCGCAGCGCACCGCTCGTGGCGGCTACGACGACGCAGGTGACGATGACGATTGTGCTGTGGCCCAGGGAGAAGAAGGTCCCCACTGTCACGGGCCGCTGGCCGGAGGCGATGAGGCGGCGGGTCATGAGGTCGATGGCGGAGATGTGGTCTGCGTCGAGGGCGTGGCGGAGGCCGAGGACGTAGGAGAGGGCTGCCGGGGAGATGAGGGATGGGTGGAAGTGTAGGATGATGCCGGCGATGATCCATATTATGATGTTGATTGTGACTAGCAGGGCGATGATGCGGATTGTCGGCGCCGGGAGGACGCGGAGGGCCGGCGGGACGGGGAGGTTGGCGAAGAGGACGCGGAAGCGCGCCATCGTGATGGTTGGTGAGATGAGCACGGCGACTGTGGTCTATGTAGTCTTGAGCAGAGATGGTTGTAAGATTCCTTGTGAAGCTCTATAACTTCGGAAGGCCAAAAGATGAAAAATTGATGAGATGGATGTTTGCGAAGAGGTTGATTTTGAGACGGGGTGCCCAGCCGGCGGGAAACAACTGGTCAACGGGCGGCCCTCCGGCCCCTCAGGTCCCCTCACGGCGGGGGCACTCCCCCACCATTTGTACTCTCGCAGCACATTGAGCGTCGATTTTTGACCTAGAAGAGGCAAGTAGTGGAAGAGTCAAAGATAGCGTGAAAATACTTGCTCACAACGGCATTGAGACGGGCACACACGGCGGTGGCAGATTCGTCTCATGGCTGCGCGAGTGACCGGCGGGACCCCTCACGACCCCTCCATCTTTCACGCGCTATCTTATCGGTCATGCGGGGGCATTTCTGAATGGGGCCGCTCCGAGCCGACGGCGGCCGCCGGCCTTTGGTTCCGGTCAGGTACTGAGATGCTTCGTAAATACTTTGAAGTCTGTTAGTACCTATAACATCTCCTTGCAACCTACTGCATTCTTCTCAAGACATATATAATCTAGTAAAAACGTTTTGGCTGCTTGGCTACAATGGTAGGATCGAGTCTTTAGTGGGATTCATTTAGATCTAGATGAGAAAACTGGAACCACGAAAGCTTGGCCTCCAACGTGTGGGTAAGTATCTACTCCACCTTCACTCGGACATCCTGTCATAGTACTTTGCAGAGGCTTATCCTCACTGGCGAGTCGAATGCTTGTTACTCAGCGATCTTTGATGTTATTGCAAGCCTCTCATGAATGTTACCAATCTCTATGTATGAGATGGGGATGAGGATGAGATGACAAATGAGGTGTGGCGGGGTACGTGAGCCGCAAGTCAGCGATTTCCAGCGCTCAGTCAGCCGCCGCCGCCAGCTTGGTAACCCGTGCGGGTACCTGAACAAGAAGCCTGCCTCACCTCAATCGAACCCCTGTCTTTCATCCTCTCCCTCATCTCAAATATCTAGTTGATACTCACTTCATCTCATCTCGGATCGATCAGACTATCAACCACGACACGAAAAGGCGAATTAGTTCATGGCCTAATCTCATCCAAATTGATGGTCCTCATACTACTACTCACAATCATCGCAATACTCCTCACGACAACTCAAACCTGCCCAAACCACTCTTCCCTCCGCACCCTCACTCTCAAAATGCCACAAACCTACAACAAAGCCTTCATCCCCCTCGAATCAAATCCCCAAATCTTCAACGAACTCATCGCCGCCCTCGGTGCCTCATCCAGCCTTCACTTTCAAGACGTCTTCACCCTCGACGACCCAATCTTCCTCCCGCCCAAAATACTCGCCCTCGTTCTCGTCTTCCCCACAACGCCGACCTATGAAGCGCGGCTGACGGCCGAGGACGTCGGTGCAAAGGATTGGATGGTGGAGCATGATGAGGAGGACGAGGATGTGGTGTGGTTCAAGCAGACTATCAATAATGCCTGTGGGTTGTATGCTGTTTTGCATGCTTTGGCAAATGGGCGAGCCAAGGACTTCCTAAGTGAGTAAACATGGCTTTCCTCCCCTTGACCTCATCATCAAGGACGCCTTTGATGAAGAAGAGCTGACGAGACTCAGCGCCTGGATCGTTGCTAGACAGCCTCCTCTCTATCACCGCGCCCATGGACCCAGCCCAGGCCGCCATGGTGCTGGAAGGCTCAACAGAACTCGAGGATGCGTATGCTGCCATCGCGACAAAGGGCGATACCGCGGCACCGCAGAGTGCAGAGGACGAAGTCTACTTCCATTACATCTGTTTTGTCAAATCACCAGACACGGGCCATCTCTACGAACTGGACGGAGATAGAAAGGGCCCGGTGGACAAAGGAATCCCAGACGAGGCAGAAAAGGTGGATCTTGGACCAAAGTCCGTAGACATTGTCAGAAACTTTGTTGCGCAAGGAGGGGACGATATTGGCTTCAGTCTCTTGGCCTTGACTGAAGGAGCATGAAGAAGCATGGCCACCTTTACACGGGAGAGAATCGTCGAGCACAGTCGACCTGCACATTTTGGCCGAGGCGTCACGGTGGAATTGATGATCGGTCTTTTTTTAACTTTCTACGGCCGGGTCGTCCGTGACGCCCTTTAGCTCGCCTGGATAATCTTCTCCAATTCATCGGGGTCCTTGATGGTGGGCGTCAGGTTCTCACTGCCGTCCTTGGTGATGAGGATGTTGTCCTCGATTCTGCAAACAAGTTAGCACACCCATGCAACTGAGAGCACCAGGACCGGGGCTTGAACTTACCTCACACCGCCAACATCCCAGTACTTGTCCAGCACGGTTTGGTCAATGAACTTGGAGTGGACAGGGTCCTTGAGGTACGGCTCAATGATGAAGCTGCAGAAGTAAATGCCTGGCTCGACAGTCACGATGCTGCCGGCAGGAATCTGGCCTCTGACACGCAGATAACGGAACATGGGGTCTGTATCGGCGTAGTTGGGGTTGCCACCGACGTCGTGGGTGTCCATGCCCAGGTAATGGCCGAGGCCGTGGGGGAAGAAGGCGACACTTGTCCTGCTCTTGAGAATCTCGTCCTTATCTCCCTTGAGGATGCCGATAGCGTGGAGGCCATCGATGGCAATCTTGTGCGCCAGCAGGTGAATGTCATCCCAGACGACGCCCTCCTTCAAGGCAGCAGTTGTCTCGAGCTGCATCTTCAATACGGTGTCGTAGACTTGACGAGACTCCTTGCTGAACTTGCCAGAAATGGGGAACGTACGGGTCTAGTCAGTGTTAGTTGCGCGTTTGCAGATAAAATGCGATGCTAGACACTTTACTCACAATATCAGAGGCGTAGCAGTTCCATTCCGTGCCAGCATCCAGGAGAAGGTTCAGCTTTCCTTCCAGAGGCGCATCGTTGGCGACGTAGTGTAGAGTGGCAGCTGCGCGACCTCCAGCGAAGATACCATGGTACGCCTGATTCTTGGCACCGTTCGCGACGCTGTGCTGCAGAAACAAGGCCTCCAATTCCCTCTCGTTCTTGGCATTCTTGACAGCCTTGACCACGGCATGGTGGCCAATTGTCGAGACATCGTTGGCCTTTCTGGTGAGAGCAACCTCGTAGTCGTCTTTGACCACACGGCAGCGCTCAATGGCATCCTTGAGAACGCTAAAGTTCTTGTCGTCGAACTCGAGGAAAGTGATGTTGTCGAGAACCTGGTCTTGGATGGCAAAGACGGTTGTTTTGGAGCCCTTGCCGAGTCGCGCAAGCTCGGCATTAACGTCTGTAGTGTACTTTACATCGTCGATATCGTACAGCTCCTTGGCCTCGGCTGCGCTGACGGGCAGACCGGACCAGATGACACTATCGGGGTCGATGGGGGGGATGAAGAGAGTCGACTTGTTTGTCGCAAGATCGAAAACGTAGTGGCAGTCGGCGAGGGGGCAACCGGTCAGGTAGTAGAAGTAGCGGCGCTGTCTTCGCGATGGGTGTCAGGCATAATTCAAGAGATAAGGTAGGTAACGATGGGCCAAAGGCAGTGAGAGGCTAGGTAGAGATGATACCTGAAGGGCTCGGGCTCGTCATTGTCCTCGAGCATCTTGGTCATGCGGCCCTCGACATAGAGAACGCCAGAGGCATTGGGGATCTTGGACTTTACGTAGTCGGCGACGCGGAGGGCATGCTCCTTGGCGGGGTACTTGCCCTTGAGCACCGTCTCGTAGTCTTGAGCCATGGTGGCGGTGGGTGTGGCGGAGAAGAGCCGCGTTGGTGAGGTCTGGAAGGAGGTTGCTTTGCGATGCGACGGGGAAGCTTGCCGCGATGTGCCAAGGCGTCTGGATGCCGCGGCAGTTGATAGCTGTTGGATTCGGAGTTGACCGATGAGGCTTCTTGTTGGTTGTAGTGGTGGTGGTGGGAGTGTTGGCGGTACAAAGTTGGGGCAGAGAGCAAGAATGTTGCGTGCTGACCGAGTAGATGTTCTGGTCAACATGAAGAGAATCCGGGCGGCCGTCACACCCGACGATTCTGCCTTTGTGGAGGGGTCAGGACGCAGAAATTCAGACGAAGGAGGGGCACTGAGCAGTCAGCAGCACTGTAAGCCGAGTTTAGGCGCAAAAGTACCTTGAGGTGATAGGTACCTTGTGAGGTGAGGTGCTGAGAAGCGGGACAACGATAGCTGTAAGGCACCTTAGTGACGAATCAGAGCTCTCAGACGCGTCGGAAGAGGAAGCTGGTTTGCGCCAACGGGCCCTGAATGGGGTCGAATCTCTTGAAGCTTGACGCCTTTCCCACCACGGCGCCCGAGAGCGACAGTGCAATCCCGAGACTCTTAGTTACGTAATCACACGGTGCTTGATTGTCTCCACTTCTCTCGGCACATTATGTAAGGTGAGCCGATCTTGGCTGGCACTGGCATAGCTTTGACACCTCTTTTTGACAGCTGGCGGGAAAAGTACATGGGTACCTATGAATGGAGCTCGGGAGAAGAAGGCGCGAGATGGGAGGTTCACGATACCTCAATGATGTACCTCAGGCCAATTGTTCCATTTGTTTCCCCAACTCCAATTCAACTTCTGACGTGCAAACTTCGAGCTTCTCCAAGACTCCGAACCGCCCTCCACCTGTTCGCATGTCATTTTCATGGATGTCTAGTGCCCGCATCCACAACCCGTCCACGATTGTCCTCGTTAATCCGTTTTGGGCTTCCCTCGTGGCACTGGAACCTCTTCACTGGAACCCCTTCGCGAGGCGGCTCAACAAGAAAGCAACGACGATGCAGCCCCTCCGATATTCGATGCACATGGATCGTCGTTGACGTTCCATGGGTCATGGAGCGCCAAAAGCTCCAAGATCTGGAAATTAACACCCCAAGGCTCAAGCAATGCTTGCACCGGGTTGTATTGTCTTGGTCGGATGATTCTTACAAACATCGTCGAAACCCTTCAGATGACATCTGTTTTTGACCAAGGACTCGGGCTGGCCGATCTCTCCCCTGCTCACCACCTGCATCAGTCTGCTTTTCACATGAAGGAGCTGTCACCGTTTCAACTGCGACCTGCAGCCTATTCCCAGCTCGGCCAATCGAGCCCAACCGCAGCCTCCCAATACGGGCTTCCATCACCACACGAAGGATCGTCTCCCTGAATTTTATAACCTCGTTTCCAAACTTCCAATTGTCTCCTCTCGACTTGGGTGGCTGCGTGACGTACATACAACAAAGGACTGTCTGTCTAGCGCCTATTCTTCTTTTGCTTCAGCCTTCACCGAGAGGGTTGCGTCGCTTCAGGCGGGTAAATCCTCCCGAAGCCACCCAACGCCAACTTGCACAGCCAGGAGACTCAGATGTCCGGCTAGCCCAACGGGGCAGAGACCGGCACAGCGTGGCAACGACATTTGCCAATTTCCAGAACCAACACCTATCAAGCTGCTGCTGTTATTGCACTGCCCCCTTCATTAAGAACAACAGGCCAAGACTTGCCATTTCACCGCAACAACATTCGCGACATCAGCCATCAGATGACGCCCAAGAAGCCCACAAGAGCTACGTCTAAAGTTTCGTTCCACATTAGCTGGTGTGGTCATGATGAAGGTCGCGGACAGTGCCCGACAATCCACCGCCTTCACGGCCTGCCTCCACTGTCTTCACCAACATCGAGGGGCATCGATGGATGCCATCCTGCAGAGGACGGGCATCCACCTGGATGGGTTCAGTCCAACATCCCAGTATGCGACTGATTACTGGTTTGCTCAGAGCCTCACACGACGTTACAGCAACTCCACCATAGGTCCTTTCTGCTTCTCCAACGTCAGTGCTTTCTTCCCCGACCAAGGCCGTCAACCCACAAAATCCCCAGGGGGAATTACTGGACCTGTGTTTGTCCAGTGGCACTTGAACAATGGGCCCAGAAACCCCCAGTCAAACCACTAACCATTCAACCCGAGTCAAGTCTGAACGTCCGTCTTAGTCACTTGATCCTGGCCTACCCGGGTTCTGCCACCGACCTTTCAGATGCCACCCTGGAACCATTGCCCCAGCCGTACAGATACCGTTCGCACCCGAGATACTGCGAGGCTCCAGAGACAGAAGGGACAAGAATATTTGACAGCAACTTGGTTACAATTCGCCTGGCGTAAAGGACGCGAAGCTGACGTGCGAGTCATTACTGCGTATACTATGAGCGAGCAGCAGACCCTTGCGAAAACTCAGATGCCTACGAGCAATCTGGCGCCTGGGTTGGTTACTGGGTAAACCCACAAGTAACAAGCTGCAGTCTGTGACCCGTCACCCAGGAATCATCGTCTTCTGGGGACCCTATCCGAACCCACCAGCTTGCCCAGGCTCTGTCGCCAAGAAGTCTCTGCCTTGCCCTGAGCTCACGGCACAGAGCAGACGACCAGCTCCGAATTCAGACTCCGGCTATATGAAGAACCGAGGATTTGCTGCGCAGCGAAAATGGCCTCTGGTGCTGATCCGCTTCCCCGAAACATGCATAGGTAGCTATCACGGGTAGTCTGTTAGTGCATCAAACGGAGGCAAAGACAGACAAGCGCCTTGGTACGTCCGCAATACGCGAACACTCCCAATGAGGTTGAGAGGTGGCGGGCTGCGGACAAGCAGCTAGACACCTCTGAATACGGGCAATATTCGTTAGTATTCGAAGCGTCTCATCCCACCTACGAAAATCTCGGGCCAAACACCGACGCCCAGCGTTGGATGCTGCCGTATGCCGGCCAACATTCTTGGGGTCATGGATGGTACTTACGAACCGAATCAGGCACTCCGACCCCGTACCGATCGGGATCCATCACTCAAGTACGGATTACCTACCATGCCCAGCTGGCTTTTATTCGTTCGCGGGGCCAGCAATGTTAGGTTTCAGATTGCGCCAGTTCAGTCAACCGTTTGATACAGTCTCATAATTAGCGCTTCCATGGCCCACCTGCTATGGCCCCGTTTCTATACCACGTCTGCTTCCGTCCAATACGATACTTGACCGAAAAGGGTAGTAAATCCTTCATATCGCCATTGTACGGTCTTTTGATCTTCCAACACTCTACCCCGCAAGGAGCCCCGTCCGCCACCCCCGTCCCCCGGCCACCCTCCGCTCCCGTTTTTTCGCTCGCCCGCACGTCTGCAGCTTATTTAGGCGTTTTGGGCTCGGCAGTCCGCCTGGTGTCGGTCCGATAAGGCCATCTCTCTTTACGGTTCTCTGTGAATGAGAGGGAGGCGGTCTCAAAGCCTGGTCAACAGCCCAATCACGGCTTTCCATCCCCGTGGGTCTATTCTCACACTGCTTGCAGGCTGCCCTCCCTCTTTTCTCCCGACATGACGTAGGACAAGCCTTGCTGGGAAAAATCCCACAGCAACTAGGATACGGGGGTACGATGCCGGACATGGATCAGAGGCAGCCCGCCTCTTTGCGCGAAAAAGGCCGGTTTTGCCTTCTTCAACATGACAGTACGGTGTTGATATTGCTTACCGCTCAAATCAATATTGCGCAGCGCAGCTCAAGATTAGCTCAGAGAAGATGCGCGTAGTCCCGAATCCCAAGACATGTCAAGAGGCTTCAAGCTCACTCAAGCCTTTTGGCCTGTCGCCCATATCCTTCTCGGCCGTGGACTATACGGACAATAAGCAACTCAAAGCCTGGACGATCGAGCTTGGTGTCTTTGTCCTTTACCTCTTGTCTCTGCTTCCCCGCGCTTGGCCGGCTGGGATGATTGCGTGGCGCTCCATGGCGGCCAAAAGTCAATGAATGCGCCAAGCGCTTGGCTCTCACGATCACTTCTCAGTATTGCGGGACGGGTGCGACTGGATGAACGACTCAGATGCCTCAAATCTCTCTGCACGTTACATTGCGAGGCACTAATACGCGACATTGACAAGGGACCTGCGCATGTGTCACCTGGACAGTAATTATTCCCTTCCTTCGTCTCCCTTCGATGTGTTATCCCGGAGAGAGCCCATCTGTACTCCAGACGAACCCGTCAATTCGTCGGCGCTCTCACCCCTGGCGGAAAACAAACCATCGCCGGCGCAAGCTGTAGGCAGAATGAAAAGCAACATCTACAAACCGCCAAGCTCTACTACGACAGGGTTTTAGCACCCGAGAGCCCATGCTCAGACCAATAATCCGAGTCCAAAGGCTAGACTCGAGCGGATTCTCCGTCCACGCGTGGGGCAAGGCAGTCTAGGAACTTGATTACCGATGCCGGTCTCGACCAGTCACTTCACGTTCCTGTAGAACCAAAACTCCAGAGAACTGAAGCTTATGGGGTGTGTGCGGAGATGCCAAGGAGACAGCTGCTCGAGTTTCTGGTACAGGATCATCGGCTGTTTTCGTCTGGTACCATGGGGCTGGGCTTGCCTCTCACGCCTCTATAAAGATCCATGACTGCCCATGCGGTGGTTCCAGGTTGGACAATCTCTCTCTAGTTGTCCTGCATCCGCGCCGAGTTTCCATTAACTTGTGAAGCCATCTTAGACGTTGTCACACGTCAATAGCTCATCGCGTCGAAGACAGTCAACAGATCTGTTCAATAGTCAGAACTCGATACGATACAGTATACTCGTCCGTCGCCAGTATGGCTGATAAAATTCATCCAGACGGGTAAGCTCTTCTTACCAGTGTTGTAGTCTCAAAGCCAGAGTCTTTTAACACAAGGATCTCTCTAGCGAAAAGGTCGCCGATGTCTCTGGACATCATGAAGAGCGTGGCACTCACCAGCCTGACCCAGTTGAGCTCAGCCGCAACATCGAAGCAAAGTTAGTTGTCTCACACTTGCACGCGCCGAAGCAAAGCATATCTAACCATATATGCAGGATCAAGAATCCTCTCGAGGGAATCCCGTACAACCAACTCATGCGCGATGTCGAGGCCTTTTGCACAGAGTATGGCCTACAGGAAGAGATCGCCGTGTTCCGAAAGGGCGCACTGGTAGCTCAAGACCCAGAAGGCTATGAGACTATTACCGGCACTGAAGCCCTCGATGAGGCTGAAATTACAGCTCTGCGAGAGGAAGTAACCCACAAGTGGCGTTTGCCCAAGAAGCTTTACCTGACCATCATCACTTGCTCCATTGGTGCTGCCGTTCAAGGATGGGATCAGACTGGTACCAACGGCGCCAACATTTTCTTCCCCGAGGAATATGGCATTGCGAGCAGCAGCACCAGAGACCGCCTCATTCTAGGCCTGGTAAACGCGGGCCCCTATATTGGAAGCGCTCTCTGCGGTTGCTGGCTATCCGATCCCCTCAACCACTACTTTGGCCGTCGCGGTGTCATCTTCTTCTCGGCTCATTTCTGTATCTGGCCTCTCATCGGTTCCGCCTTCAGCCACAACTGGCAACAACAACTCGCTAACCGTCTTCTCATGGGAATTGGTATGGGTGCCAAAGCCTCGACCGTACCCATCTACGCTGCCGAAAACTCCCCGCCGTCGATCCGCGGTGCCCTGGTTATGTCGTGGCAAATGTGGACAGCTTTCGGCATTGCTCTGGGAACTGCCTTCAACTTGGCCGTCTACTATGCCAAGTACAACTGGCGTCTGATGCTTGGTATGCATACATCACTTGAAGACCTTGCATGAAAGCCAGAATCACTAATTTGTTCGGCTCACAGGTGCTCCTTTCCTCCCCGCCGTTCCCTTGCTCTGCTTGATCTATCTCTGTCCCGAGTCTCCCCGCTGGCTCATGAAGAAGGGCCGCTACCACGATGCTTGGAAGTCCATGATTCAGCTCCGACACAACAACATCCAATGCGCTCGCGACATGTACGCTATTCACGCCCAGCTGCAGCTTGAGAGCCAGGTTTTGGGCAAGAGCAACTATGCTAGCCGCTTCATGGAACTGTTCACCATTCCTCGCGTGCGCCGCGCCAACTTGGTTGCTTTCACCGTCATGATTGCTCAGCAGATGTGCGGTAAGTGAAAATAACGCCTGGTGGACCCTTTCTTGGATGAAGCGGTATCTGATAATTCTTTTGTAATGCAGGTATCAACATTATTGCCTTCTACTCGACCACCATTTTCAAGGATGCCAACATGGGTGATTTCCAGGCCCTGCTCGGTTCCTTCGGTTTCGGAATGGTCAACTGGCTCTTTGCCTTCCCCGCCTTCTGGACCATCGATACCTTTGGCCGAAGATCTCTGCTTCTGTTCACCTTCCCTCAGATGACTTGGACTTTGTTGGCGGCTGGTCTTTGCACATTGATTGCGCCCGGTGTAACCCGCACTGCCCTGGTGTCTCTTTTCGTTTACCTTTTCGGCGCCTTCTACTCGCCTGGTGAGGGTCCCGTACCCTTCACCTACTCTGCCGAGGTCTACCCTCTTTCTCATCGTGAGATGGGTATGGGCTTCGCCGTTGCCACTTGTCTGTTCTGGGCCGCCATTCTGGGAATGACTTTCCCGTTCATTCTCGACAGACTCCACGTCGTCGGTGCCTTTGGTCTCTACGCCGGTTTCAACGTCGTTGCCTTCTTTATGATTCTGTTCTGGGTCCCCGAGACCAAACAACGAACACTGGAAGAGCTCGACTGGGTCTTTGCTCTGCCCACCGCCCGCTTTGCGCACTACCAGGTCACCAAGGCGATTCCCTACTTCTTCAAGCGCTGGGTCTTCTTCGACCGCAACGCCAAGCTGGAGCCTCTGTACACCTTCCAGCAACACCAGCGTGAGCAGCGCGCGGAGCGTGTCCCCAGCTCCGATGAAGAGAAGAAGAGCTACTAGGCTTGCCGTTTGCAGAGACTAGGCCATGCACGCTGCGTGCTGCCTTGTCGCACAACCACAATTACTATTGAAGGAAAGAGGTTGCTTTGAGATATACCCAGGTGGCGGACGAGACAACGAACTTTACTTTCTTGCATGTCGATGATATTCGACAGCATAATTCTAGGTCGCACGGCTTACTATGAGTTTGAATTGATACCAACGTGAATATACTGCCATTGCTTTCAGCCTATACATTTCCCCTAATAGTCTCCATTGGCTATCATGACTTGTTGATTATTTGCATCAGATGTGTCCATCTTACTTCCATAGCTCTCGGCGGCGATGGTGCGTAGTACCTGCCACTACTAGAACACGCCGTATCCACGTCTGGCTCTCTCCGCGTACAGAGCTATTTGACAAAACTCCGTGCCCACATTCTCAATGCGAGAACGATGGATCGCGAAATGCCAAGACACGGCGCTTGCAATTGCCGCTCTTCTTGGTGCTATATGGTATATCCCCGCCCCCGATACCGTTTTAGAGCCGTTGAGGACTGATGTAAACTTTGACGCGGGTTCTTATTTCCGCCTTGGGCTATTTAGTCTCCAAGCTCCCGATCTTGGCATTTGCGTCTTGGCGTGGAGTCAAATTGAGAGGGTCTGAAGGGGAATAATGGGGTCGATACTAAGTATTCTGGGGTATACTGAGATGGCCGATTGATTCGGCTGCCATGACTCGGTTCCCGGTCTAGGGACAACGGAATACCGCTATGTTGGGTCAATACCGTCTACGACTGGGATAAGACGAGTATCGGGTAATAATGAATGGGTATGTGTATGGTACATCATCACGGCCTTGAAGAGTTGAGACATGGATGCCAGAGGCCGTCTAGATTACCCATATCGAGCAAGACTATCGCCCCCATCGCTCCAAAATCTCCCTCTTCCTCTCGCTCCTTAATCTCGCCTTGCCAGCATCAATCTTTTCAACCCTCTCCTTGACCTTCTCAACCTCCTGTCCCAACACGGCAATAGACGCCTCAATCCCCTCATCCACAAGCCGTACATCCCCAAACGGGCTCTCGGCCAGCAAACTATCCCGCAACAGCTGGATAGCGAGCTTCGAATCCGCAAGCTGCGTCGCGGCGGCACTCTCGAGTGTCTCCTGTGCATTTCTCGCCACGTCGCGGGCTTTCGTCTGCCGCTCGGCCAAGGTGGCGGCTAACACGGCCGTTTGGCCCGCGCTGTCGGTGGCATCTTCGGGGAAGGCGATGGCGAGGGAGCGGAGGAGGGCTTCGAGGGGTGGTTCGTCATAGGCCGAGGAGCGGCGGCGGCGGGTGACGCCGTCGCGAGTGGGTGATCTTCCGGGGTTTGTGTTGTTGCGGCGGCGGACGGGAGAGACGAGGTCTTGCGTTGGCGTCTTCTTCTTTGGCGTCGCGACTGGGGTGGAGAGTTCTGCACGGGCTGTGGTGAGGAGGCTTGATGTTGCTGTTTGGTGGGATTGGTAGCCTTCTATGCGGGTGGAGAGACGGTCCATGTGGTCGAGGAGGTAATCTAGACACTCGTCGATCTGGGCGTGTCAGTGACTGTAATGTTCGTCATGAGGTCGAGTTGGAACTTACGTAGATAACCGCAGCGGCGGAGCGACGCAAAGACTGCCCGTTCTTGCTTGATAGCGACTTTAGAGCCGGCTCAAGGTGCTGCTGCTCGACCGACATTTGAGCCACGGGTAGGATCTCTGCGTAGAGAGACTCGAGTTCCTCCTGGGAGGTTTTGACGTCGTCTGAAGGGTGGGATGTTACGCCGTTCTGGTGGGCGGAGTTTAATGCTTCGAGGTAGAGTCTGTCCAGCTTTGCGCGTACCGTTTCGACGGTGTATTTGATCAACCTACGACAGATGTGTGAGTCATGGTGTCTTTCGAAGCTGTGTGGGGGTTGGTGAGGCGTGCGCGTACCTCATGCAGATCTCACGAAGCTTTTCTACGTTTTCACGGTCTTCGGGGTCCTCGGTCTCGAGTTCAAGCCCAAGCTTGCGAAGACTCGAAAGGAGCTTGTCGTCGGAGTGAAGCAGACTATCCAAAGTCTGCTGCAGGCCGTTGCCAGAAACCTTGGATTGCTGTTCGAAGTCTGATGCCTTGTACTCTAGACTTTGAGACAGCTCCTCGACCTTTGAGTCTCATGTTAGTGAAGCTGCTTCCGGGAATGACAGCAGCACAACATACCGTGGTCATCATCTTCCTGCGCTCAGTATCATGCTTCTGGTTCCGTTGGAAGACGAGGTCGGAGCGAGCCTCCTCGACTCGGGAATGGGTCTTGATCAGCTTGGACAGAGCATCCTGCTGCTGCTTCAAGGTCTCGGTCTGTTTCACAATGGCGGCAGTCGCCCGGTTGAGCTCCTCAATGGCGGTCTGTATCTCGCGTTCGCTTACAGCTTGAACAGCAGCCAGATCCTGTGACTCAACCAGCTTGTCGATCTGACCTGATCTGTCCAAGGCTGTGTACCTACGGACCCCATATTGATAAGCCATACGTACGTAAATGAGCGCGTGACACTCATGATGGCACCTACAAGGCTAGTTCATCTCTGGACAGCAGGTTTTCGGGGCCAAGGTGAAGGCGGGCCCATTCGGTAAAGGCAGTTCCATGCTCCGGATCATCGAGGGCTGCCTGAAGGGTGTGTCGGTCAATGGCGATACCGTAGCTTCGCACAATGTTTTCCAGGTTTGAGACATCCATAGCGGCGAGCTGATACCTCGATTGGAAGGTGTCTAGACTGGCAGGATTTCTTCGAGGCTGGAAGGGTGGCTGAACAGAGGGGGCCAGAAACGGGATGCCCCTCTTTGCGTAGGACTTGGTGTTCAACAACCAACGGCTTTTGAATTAAGGTGCTGCACGTGGACGGAGTACCGAATCAATCAAGGGCGGGACGAGCCTTGGTGTCCGACCGGTGAGTGCTGTCGCCCCCAACCTTGACGCGGATTCGGAGAATAGACAGGAACAAAGTTGTGGAGATGTCGAGGTGTCGAGGTGTGAAGAGACGGGTTGGAAGTTCGTTTCCTAAAAGGGAACGGCTGTAGCTAGCACACACGGGATACGGTCGTCCAATGACGGAAGACGGCTGAGGTTTGTGGTTTGGTCCACAGATGGCACGGTATCAGAGGCCAGCGACGGGAGACAAAACGTCTAAGAGAACCGGGGTATTTTGGCTTCCGTTGGGTGTAGCCAAGTCACGACGTCTTGAGGTAGCACACACCGCCGTTGTTGGTTTCAACCGTGCGGTAAAGTCGGAGAGGTTGTGTTGGTATTGTACGTAGTAGTGTAGATAGTGAAGCCGTGTCGTCTCGGCTCGGGATGCTATTTTCCTTTTTTCCTCCAAGTGTGGACTGAATTAAAGGGGATGATCCGTTGGTCTGTTCATATACTTTGATATGGGAACCAAGGGCAAATGAAGGCTGCGCAGACCGAACAGATGGAATGATTCGATCAAGGCCAAGAAAGGAATATGAATGAGAGGCTCGTCAAAGTGACGAATGAGATGAGTTGAGTAGGTGACTGAGTGAGTGAGTGAGTGAGCGAGTGAGTTGTCCAATGTACTGAATGAGATGAGGTGAGGTGCAAACAGAAACAAAAGGAAGCCTACCGAGAGAGACGGTAGACTAGTCCAAAACCAGATGGGTACCCACTAGAATGTCAAGTTGACCAACCACAAGCGGCAAACTAGCATCCTCCCTTCCGCACGGACTCTAGAGCGGTCCGTCAACGTCTGCAGCGGCCCCATCCAATATCATGCTACCTTAGGTAAGGTACGTACCTCGCAGCATCGGTGATACGGCCGATAGACTTACACGACGTCCCCTTCCCACCACTTCCCCTTCAACAACCAACAACAAGCTGCCCTGTTTAATCATCAGTCGCTCGATCGAAGGAAGTGTGGGAGAAGGACTGGAGACACGCATCTTGCGGAACAACGACCACAACCACAGTCCCAGCAGCTTTCCGTCACAACTCTGTTCAGACACCCCCACCTGGTTCCGAGAGTGTCAAGGAGGACCAGCCCGACCTCCATCATCTTCAACCTTATGCAGCAAGCAAAGTCTGTTGTCTGCAAGAAAGCATGCGTCTTTACAGGGTAAGTTTTTACGAAGGTACACCATCAGCATCTTGAAAGCAGGTCTGACCTATTCTGGATATCGTTTGCAGCACGCGCCGGTCTGCCGTCAATCCGCCCCTCCCCGCCTGGCAAGGTACAGCTTGCATCTCTCAGGAAAGGCATCGACAAGGACGGGACATGGCTTGAGCGTCCCGTTGCATCTTGTCACTTTTGACATCTGCCACACACACATGCAGTCATTCTTGGCCTGGGGGCTATTTTCCATCGGATGAGCAGCAAGCCGACCATCGGGCTGCCAAATATGGACTTCCAGACGCCCGGCACGGTCCGGATGGAGGGGCCATTAGGGGGTCTTCTTCGAAGATATGCAATGGACCCTGCTCAAACATCTCGGAGGGCCATTTCAAACAGACACGATGGCTTTCCGGTCAAGCCTTGCCGCAAAATGTGATGCGTCGACTCTGCATCTCTATCACCAACAGAACAAGATCGATGGACCAACCGCATATCTTGCTCACTGGTGCCTTGGGCTCTTGGATCCGTTCCACACTCGCAACAAAACCATCTTTGGGATGGTTCTGCCTTCTCCCATCTGTTCAGAGTTGCTGGATTTGCCACTGGGACCCGTCGACAAGGAAGCTCCTGGGCCTATCGTGTGTTCGTTCAGCGTTTGTGAAGCCATCCACAGCCATGGAATACAGAGGGGACCCACACACCTCACCTTCCGCCGGACCTCATCCGTCATCATGTTTACCTTCAACTTCACCTTCTGACTTCTCCTCTTGGACCCCGCTCGCTCTTCATTCACTAGAATGGGAAATGGGGGCCGGCTTCGTATTCTAGTACCCGTTCCGTGGCGAACCCAAAGACTGTCTTTCGTCGAGTTTCCCATACTTTTTCCTTACCTTCTTCGTGGATATATACCGCTCGTGTACGACACTGGATGACGGGAACTAGAAAGTAAGAGCCTCTTTGTGTTTTCCTGTATCTTTACCAACAGCGGCCTTGTTTTCCACCTCATTTCACTTGTGGATCTGATTGCCTTTGCTACTGGGGACTTCACCCTGGGGTAAAGTCAGAATCAAATCACTCTTGGACATATTGTCACACAACACCCTCCTGTCCACCCTGGAACCCGTCTATTCTCGTCCTCCCCCCTCTACCACGACATGTTTACAAGAACCTCTGCTCGCTTCGAGCTTCTCTCTCAGATCCTCCAATGTCTCAGACTCAAACTCAGACATTTGACAGACAATGTTCCCAGACTCCGTTTGCCATTGCGAATGTTCAGGAGAGATACCGAAGAGAACAGCACCGATAGATGGGAACATTGCACCCGCCTCATACGCCAGCGGATGCGTGACATCTTCTGGGTCGGGGTGATTTACCTCGCTAGCGAATTGCTCATATGGAGTCTCTTCCTGGGTCTGTACGAATATCGACTTGACTACCTGTCGCCCATCATTGGTATGGTGGTGGTGTTGTGTTTCATGTTCGCGATTTCATGTCTTTGTCCCAGGTCAGAGAGCTTCTACCACCGCCACATCAAGTGCAAGGTTTGTCCTTCACCTTTGTTCTCACACCACCACTGTTCGCAAGTATTGACTGGGCCAGGTCGACTTCATCAATAGCAACTTGGGCATTGGCTTTCCAGTGCCCATCGTCACGATTACTCAGGATAGACTGCTTGGCGGTAAGGGTATCGGAAGAGTAATTGGCAACTTTGGTAAGTGCACCTTGACACCAAAAACAACCTTGAGCATTCAAGACTGACGAACAAAGTGAACACCAACGTCGTCTTTTGGACATTGATTTTCCTGCTCTCTTGGGGCATCCTGGCCGGGATCCTCAGGATCCCAGCTCTTTCCCTACGCGGATCTGAAAAGAACAGCGACGTTGACACCGAAGTCGACCATCCAGGACACTCCGGCGGGCAAGACACACTCACACCGCGCATCGAGATGCCCCCTCCAACCCTCAGCCGCAGGCCATCAGAGTCAACGACCCTGAACGGAACCACGATCAACGGATACCATACCGATAAGGAAGCGGGACTGGGTCCAGATTCGAGGACCGTCTCGGCCTACTTCACCGACAGTGACTGCCCAACCCCTGTACCACCTCCGAGCCCACTGGGTAACTATCAAAACCGAGCATCGCTTTCAAGCTCGCAACAGCCACAAGTCTCGAGCGGAGAGGGTACCCAAAGGTTCACTTGGTTCAAGGAGTGCTACCCAATTATCCTATCAATTTTGCTCCTACTCACCGTAGGCATCCCTGTCTCGTATTCCCTAGGCGATGACCGCATCCTCGATGGGTGCATGCTGTGGTTCACCTGGATCAGCAGCACCAGACTGCAACGCAATTTTGGACGCAGCGACATCCTCTCTAACGTACAAGGGCTCAAGACGACAATCACGACACTCCTCAACCCAGTCCTCCTGATGACCCTCGGCATGATAGCCTACACGCGCGCCAAGGCCGCCGCTACGGACACGCCCATCAAGCAAACGTTGGCCCAGTTCGCGTGCAGTAATACTCTTTCTCGCATCTGGACTTCAAAGGTATCGAAATCTTATATCCGGAGCGACTGGTTCGGCGCCGGCGATGCGGCCATCTCTATCCTTGAGGTCGGCATCGTTGTTTGGGGATTCAAGCTCTATGAGTGTCGGAAGCAAATTTGGTCTCGCGCCGGCGCAGCCGTGGTTGTTCTCTCGGCTGCCTTTGCGGCACTCAACGTCTTTGTGTCGGTCCTGCTCGGTAGAGCAGTTGGTCTCGGGCCTCGCGAGGCGCTCTCCTTTGCAGCGCGCTGCACAACGCTGGCGCTGGCGCGACCTGCGATAGAGGCGGTCTACGGTAACGAGGTCGTTACCGCGGCACTGGTGGTGAGCAACGGCATATTCGGGCAGCTAATGTACCCGTTCATGTTGAGGAAGCTGGGATTTGGCTCGACTAAGGAGTTGCACGTTGACGTTGATGTAGACGAAGAAGAAGAGAGGCAGAGAGACGATGCGCTTACCATTGGAGTAGGAACGGCGATTGGTATCAACGGCGCGGCCATGGGCGTCTCGTATCTCTATGAGAGGAAGAGCCGGGCCGCGCCTTATGCTGCCCTCTCGATGACCGTTTTTGGTATCTTTACAGTCGTCTTCAGCGCGGTCGAACCGTTTACGACTACCTTGATGAAGCTGGCTGGCATAGGACCGGACAGGCTCCCGTATGGCGAGGTATCTTGAGATTCCTCAAGGTAGTTTGGCGCGTGAAATCGGTGACACAGCACGTAGAAGGCGGCGCTCTGGTTAATGTACGCAGCATAGCACAACATGATTGATCCATAGACAAAGGGGTGGGTGAGGCAAATTGTACTTGTGAGCTCGTGGGCTCTCTTCAGAAGCGCATTTTGGTATTTTTGGTATACAGTTATGCCAGTGGCACGCGCGCGATAAAACACGATTTTGCGAAAAATGTCATAAACGTCTGGCTGGCTCAGTTGGGCCAGCCGTGTCATGTCCACCGGCACTAGGCACTGGTTGAACTTTTTTTTCTCTTTTGAATCCCCCTGCCTGCTTACATGCGCATGATGCTGTTCGTCTCTACTCTATCGCATTTACTCCAGTCTGTAATTTGGGTGGTCAGTGAAACTATACGTGTAGGATAGGGGGTTGCAAGAAGAAACCAGACTTGGATGCTCACCTCTCGATCAAGTGCAGGCCGCTAGCCGTCTCCACGACGCCGCTGATATCTCCAGGGTTCAGACCAAAGGCAGCTTCTTCAAACTCCCGTTGCATGTCACCCTTGCCGAAGTAGCCCAGGTCACCCCTCTTACGGGCACTGCTGCAGTCGGACTCGGTCAGGGCCAGCTCGCCGAGCGTGGTCGAACCAGACTTGATCTTGGCCTCATGAGCCTTGATAATCTCGAGCGCGTCCTCCTTGGTGCGGGAGATTTCGGCCTGTGTGAACAGGTACTGTTAGCTGCCTTGTCCTCTAGCCTGGGGATATATATCTTTGTATTCAAATGTTGCGCGTACCTCTCTCCAGCTAGAAGGGCGCCGGCTGTCCTTGTGCTTGACGAGCAGGTGAGCAGCGCGGATCTTTCCCTCTGGCACGGGGACAGCCTGTGATCTTGCGCCGGCGCCAGCGCTGTGGTGGGTGGCCATGTAGTGCTTCAGCTTCTCGGTGTCGGTTCCCGCGGGCGGCTCCCAGCGTGAGACCTTTTCGGCGGCATTGAAGTAGTAGGGCAGGTTCTTGGAGTTGGAGTGTCGAACTTCCCAGCCGGGGGGGAGACCGGTGTCAGCCTGGTGAAGAGTTGTGTTAGTCGTCTGCTGAGAATGGCATTGTCTTGGTTGGTAAGCCGGACGGCTCTGCGGGATACGCAGAGAAAGATCAACGGCAGCATGCGACGGCCCAGAGACGAGGCTGCGCGATGGGAGGTAAACTGGGACACAAAGGAATCGAGCGGGGTCAGGTGTCGAGGGTGCAGAGAGGGAAAAGGCTCTGCTCTGGATACGAGATGCATCACTGCTTACTCACCATTGTTGCGCGTGAGGTTGTTTACGGGAGAGACGAGAAGGAGCTGTTGCGATAGCTGCGGGGAACAAAACGTGAATGGCGGGGGAAGTTGGTGGAAGAAACGAAGCTGTCGTGGAATAGGTACTGAAGTGTAAGAAACGTGGAGTTGGCAGAATAAGGAGGAGGAAGAACGGCACGACGATGGAGGCGAGAAGGGTGGGCGTCGAGGTACAAATGTACTCGGGAAGGTATACCGGTAACCTAAGGTACGGCAGCCGAACGGAAGAGACAATGCTAAGGTACTCTCCTCCGTAAGGTAAGTGTGGTAAGGTAAGGTGCAGCTGGGGAAGAGCTGGGGTTTTGGCGATGCACTCGAATGGATTGGATGAGAGAGAGGATGACGTGCGGCTGCTGGGGTAACCACCAACGAGGCCACGGGAGGGAGGGGGGAAACAAAAAGAAGCGCAAAAGCCAAGGTACGGGCCACAATGGTGGGTTACCTAAGCCAACAGAAGTACTTTTTATGCCACTTGAACAATGGATGTTCGCTGTCGGCGAGCGTTAGTGGGGAGTGGGGGGAGGGCTACGGGGGACCAGGTGACCTCTGACAGGGAACCAGACCGGAAAGGAACCTAGAGCTGGACTCGTGGACGCGCCGGGACGGGAACCATCAAAAAAGTTGTGTCCCTGAAAGGCGGGGAAAAGGGCGCTGGAGAGGGAGTTGATCATTCCCCTCAGCGCATCGAAACTTGTGTCCTTATTGGTTCCATTCCGTTCCAGTTCCTGTCGAATCACGTGTAGCCAAGGTCCCGTGCTCATCTTGGTAAGCTTACAAAGTTTCACCCACCAGACCTTGTCTCCAGACCTTTGGACGGGAAGCTCGTCACACGTCTTATTCGACGCAGGGTTTCCCGTCCCAGACCTGTCGATCCTTCTTATCAAGCCGCAGTCTATCAGGTTTTCCTCGAGGAAAAGGAGAAAAGGAGAACAGAAAGAGATGTCATCCGTAGGAACTGAAAATCCCAGATTAGGCTAAGCGACAATTGAGCTTTAGATTTCGACTAGCAACGAGTGCCCCTCGTCTGCATTTGGAGTTGTTAAATGAGGCCTCCCCCCCCCCCCCAATTGCTTGAGAAATGTTTGGCCTCATCGAAAAGTCCAGTGAGAAAAGTGACCAGTTGCCTGTCCAAATCTGTGTCAAATCACTCCATGATTTGCCAACGTTGGCTCATCCGCTGCCTACCTTACTATCAGTGTTCTCACGGTACCTTATGCGTACTGCTTCTCTCATTGGGGTTCTGTAATTCTCAAGGTTGCTGCCGTCTACTTGAGAACCTACTCCTAGCTGCAAGATATGGGCCTTTAATGGAAACAATAATGAAAGACGTTGTAGAATCCGAGAAGCTTTATAGGGAATATACAGGTTAGGCATAGATATGGTCACCTCAGATAGGGTGGCATATGACCGACACGCAAGGTATGAACGCTTGCCCTGGTGAAGCTGATTTTTGGCCCATTTTGATGTGAAGTCTTTCAATACATTTCTAAGAGGGGAGGGTCCTAGTCTCTGAAATACCAAATATCAAGCAAGTATGTCATAGAAAGTTGATATAACCCTATTAATCACACGAGGTGGCGGCCTCACTGATATTACAATCAGGTTGGCATCTTGGATGAACAATAGATGTGACTCACCGAAAGACGCCTCGGTGAACCGGTGACCATAGCTCGATGAAATTCCATCCCGCCCTGATACACCGAGAACGCCCCACCTTTCGCCTCCCGCACTGCAAAAAGGAACGTGCGCCTTTCTCCATCAGGTTCCTTTCGATTATTTGCGCCGCACTTCGCTTTTCCACCTGCTGCCTGAACCTCAACATTACACACCGCTGCCCGACTTTCAACAACGCGCTCAACAGCCCAATTTTGGTCTATAGACTTACGCAACGATACTGCGAAATTATTCCACTCCGTTTGATTAACCAAACCCCTCCCCGACGCACAAGAATCGCTTCGCGACGGACATCACGATGGCGACCCCCATGAGCACAAACTCCCAAGACGACGGCGCGAACAAGAAGCTTGAGCAGATTACCTTTCGCTTTTGCTCCGAATGCTCCAACATGCTCTACCCCAAGGAGGACGAAGAGACTCACCGCCTCCAGTTCACCTGCCGAACCTGCCAGTTTACCGAGGAGGCCCAGTCTACCTGCGTCTTCCGCAACGTCATGAACAACGCCGCCGGTGAGACCGCCGGTGTCACACAGGATGTCGGTTCGGATCCTACTGTAGGTGATCCCCAGTCTGTTCTTGCCCCTGTTGTATGCATCGGCTGCGGCCACGCCATCCTTTGCAGCGGCTGCGGTAACCCGTCCGACGACTTCAACGTCTCGGCGGCCCCTACCCACCAGCACGACGGTCCCCAGAGCAAGAAGACGGAGATCACATGGGACGACCTGATGGACATGGCCGAAGACGAGGCCCTTGACGAATACGATGAAGAAAAGGAATCGGTCACCTCCGACGAGATTAACCACGGATTCGCGGGCATCGCGCTCAACAACGAGCCCGACTCCGCCAACCGGAATGTCTCGTGGCCTACCTTTCAGCTGGCTGTCAGCCAGTGAAAAGAGACCCTCGCTACGCGTTACCACACGACCTATTCTTGGATGATATCCCCTGGACCTGGCTTTTGCAATGGGATTTTGGCTTTCACCTTGGATACGAGACCTCCCTTGTGATCAGCTGGCTGACGCTGCATCTTTCCCGGATCTAGCTTCCACGATCAAACAAGGAATGCCCCGTCTGCAAGGGCGGCGAAGCCGTCTTCTTTCAGTCTCAACAGCGAAGCGCCGAGACGGGCATGGTTAGTAGAACCCACATCTTCTCTCTCTCAACCACCTATCAGGATGTCCCAAAAGCTAACACGTTCTCGTGCAGAAACTGTTCTATGTCTGCTGCGATTGCGGTCACATCTTCCAGTAAAAGAGACGACCTGATGAAGATACCACGACATTGTTCTAGAGGAGGTTACCATGCATTGTAAGGAGTATTCTGGCGTTCGAGCTGTCGATTGGGGGAAAAAAAAGGCCATGGGGCGGCCACGGTTTTTGTCTTAAGCTATCATACAGACCATTGAGATGCATCTCCCTCGAGGGGATTAATTAGGCTTTGCCATTATTCTTTACCTGCTGCAAGTGACCTTTGAACTTTGACCCGTGTGTGACTTGAATTGACTTTCTGAATGTTTTTGTATTTGATGGAGATTGGTATCGACTGCCAACCCTGGAAACGCCGGCTCATGCATTCGTATAATACACTTCCCCCAATCTGATGACTTTTGTCTCCTATACTTTTACAAAGATCCTACACGTCTTTCTTGTCGCACTACCCCCTGCCTCCTCTTTCATCGCCATTCCCTTTATGCGTGCATGGGCGCCATGGAAAGGATCTTGCTCCACTTCTTCCTTCTCAGCTCAGCACCAACGACGCCGTTGATACGTGATCCAACGGGGTCGCCGGCCTTGTTGATGAGAACGCAGGCGTTGTCGTCGAATCGGATGACGCTGCCGTCGGGACGGAGAGTCTTTTGCTTGGTGCGGACAACGACGGCGTGGCGCATGTCACCGCGCTTGACCTTGTTGGCGGCAGATGAGCCGGCCATGCCACCCTCGCTGGCACCTCGGTGCTTCTGGACCACGACAACGATTCTGTCACCTACGATATGATATGTGTTAGTCTCGAGATCGAGTCGCGTGGAGTGAGGGGTTATGTGGGCGACGGGTCGTACCGATGCGGGCGAGCTTCTTCTGGCCGACGACCATGGCACATTCGACCATGGCAGCACCTGAGTTATCGATGCATTGCAGCACCGTCTGAGTGTGCGTTAGCTTACTGAGTCAATGAACACACAATGGAAAGACGACACACCTTTAGTTGGATCATTCTGGCGGGAGGACCTCGTGGTGGGCTGTAATATACCGATTCTCCCCTGGCTGGTCACTGTCTCTATGAAGCTATCTCGAAAAGGTGGGACTGCAAAGTTGAATTCCACGTCGGAAGAACGGACTGACATAGATCCGGTGGCCCAAGACGACGGACCAGTAGAGTGGATCCGGTGCCCCACTTGAAGGGTCGCATGTTGCCCCGTTGCTGCGGACAGGCCTCTGGCAGCCAAAGGAGGTTAGCCGCATCAGATTAAGCGCATCTCATTGGCTATCTTAGCCGGTCATAACTTGGTCTGTGCGACTATTTTGACGTCTCAGTGCAAACTCGGGGCCACTTCAACGATAATTGCCTAGCCACTGAGATTTGCAACTTGTGATTGGGCCACCGAACCCCCCGGCAAGGCGCAATCCAATGTTTCCCTTCCTTTCTTGCTTCCCTCCCTCTCTCCCGTCCTGCGTCTCTGTCTGGCTGGTCTGTCTGCTCTCCCCTGGAAAGCTGGAAAAGAAGGAAGGAAGGAATCTGGAATCTGTTCCATTGGGACTTGCTTGAGTCGGACCTGAACGAATTGAGACTGAGTTTGCTCAAGAGAGTAAGAAGGAAGGAACCACCCGAAGCAACCAACTTTCCACCCAGCAAGAGCGAATTAAAATTGGGACAAGACGGCGACTTCCATTGCTGCTTCCTGCTCATCTTGAGTTCAGGTCTCTTGACGTCCAGCCTCACACACACCTCACCTCATCACATCCTACATCCCACCTCCCACCTCAACCTAACCACATCCACTTTTTTGTCTCATTTCCCTCCCCATTCTCATCTCTTTATCCGCTCCATCGTCCGTTGTTCGACGTCTTTGTTTCCCACAGAGCCTCCCTTACGGTACTTGTGGATGAAGCTATTTTGATTCCTACATTCATTCCTTGAGCATTCATCCCAGCGCAACAACAAGGAGCCAGGAGGATCCACGTCTTGTTTGTTCTTCTCCCATATCCTTCCGTACCGAGTATGATCCACGACGGCCCTGCGCATTAATCTCCACAACCGCCCGCCTACCCTGACCAGCCTGTCCTCGTTGGCTTGTTTATGCCCCCTTTGGACTTTGGACCGGAAGACATGACGACACCCAGCCTGAGCTGACCTTTCCCTCATCTTTTTGCGTCTTTTTGGATACAACAACCTTCTTCCCGGTCTCACCCACATCTGTTTCTGGTCCTATCCTTAGCGGCCGACTCGCGACAATCGTGGCCCAGCTGTCACTCCCCCACATCATTCGCTGCGCTTGACCTTGGGCTGTTGAAGGGAGCCCGACCTCGCATTTGGTCCTTCGTCCACTCCTTGCTCTGTGCGCTGACGCTGGTCCCTCGACGCTCGTTTAGCCTTTCCCGACTTCGCCTCGGGTTCGCTCCTTCCAACTTGCGCCGACGACGACAATTGCGACGCCGCCAGCGCTCATTTCTATCTCACGATGCCGCCCTCTGCTGCTGCCGCAAAGAAGCAGAAGAATAAGCAGACGCTGACATTGGCGCAACTGGCATCCTACGACGACTTCCTGACTGATGCTCTAGTCGATCATGTATGGGTCTCGGTTCCGCCGGGCAGCCATGCCTCGGGCATTTGGGGGGCCGGAGAAGCTGACACTTTGCAGGTTTTCTACTGGACTACGATTCCCAAGAACAGAAACTCCTATCATCCTTCGCGAGGCGTGCGGGAGGAGGATATTACCCAAATCATCCGCGACGAGCTCGCTGTCAGCAAAGACCTCGAATCTGCCGAGCGCAAGTTGCTAGCCACCGATGGCTTCCGCAAGTTCTTCGCCGCCCTCAAGACGGATAAAGCCAAGGATGACTTCAAGCGTCACATGCGCCGCTACGTCCAAATTTACCTCCCCGATTGCCCCTTTGAGGTGAACTCGACGAACCGCTACACAATTGTGTCGCACGAAGCCGCCATCACTGCCCGACGCTTTATACGGCGAAACGAGACGATCAAGTACTTGGCCGGAACGCAGGTCAACATTTCACCCGAGGAGGAGCGAGAAATGACAGCCCGCAAGAAGGACTTTAGCATTATCATTTCCGCCAGAAACAAATGCGCCAGCCTGTTCATGGGCCCTGCTCGATTTGCGAACCACGACTGCAGAGCCAATGCGAAGCTCATGACTACGTCTTCAGCCACGATTGAGATCATTGCGACGAGGAACATCGATGTTGGCGAAGAGATTACCGTTACGTATGCCGAGAACTACTTCGGGGAGGACAACTGCGAATGTCTGTGCAGAACATGCGAAGACAGATGTGCAAACGGTTGGGCGCCAGCAGAAGGAGAAGTTGTGGTCAAGAAGAGCATCGAGGAGTCCGCTTTGGACGGCTACTCGTTGCGCCGGAGGAGAAGGGACGATAGCACCGGCCCTTCGTCTCGAACCCCTTCCGTCACGCCAGACATCCGGCCACGGGTGTCCAAATCACGGCTCAGGAGCGGGAAACCTGGCCGAGACTCTCTAGCAGTCGACTCTCCAATGTCAGATGCTCTTTCACCAGAAAAGAAGCAATCCTTCGATTCACTCGTCACACCGCCCATTACGCCATCCAAAAGACGAAAGATTTCGGCCACACAAGCAGCCACAGCCCGTCAGGAAGCTATCGTCACGTCAACAGAGAGCTCGGCTTCCGAGTCTGTGCGCAGCATGTCATTGACCAGTAGCGGAAACGAGGATGGGTCGGTGACGGACATTACTGAGCCGGAGAAAGACTCCCCGGAACCGAACCAAAGTCAGAAGCATTCGGAGCTTGTCAAGAAAGAGGAGTATGAGGAGACCACGGAGCAAGCACTGGCTAAGGCGGCGCCGTTCTCGTCGCAAAGAAGGGGCCAGAGGGAAACGTCAGACACAAGTCGGGCTGCATCTGTTGTTGTCTCCCGATCAATCCCCATCTCGTCCTTGTGCAATCCTCCATCCCCGCCTTCTAAAACTCCGGGTTCAAACCCTCCAGCATGGCTATATCCGGCGAGCATCGCTCCATACAAGATACAGGATCGTATGAGTATCGCAGCTGCCATGTGCAGTAGCGTGAGCACGAAGCCAGTGACAATGCCATCGACAGGCGCATCGATAAGCTCTAGCACAAGCAGTTTGAAGCTGACACAAAACGTTGATAAATCCTCCTCAACAAAAGCGTCGCTCGGAAGCTCTCGTCGCGAGGTCGTGGTGCAAACGTCAAAGGTTGAGGCTCTGGCGTCAATAGAGCAAGACGGGTTGGGCCACCGCAGCTCCGACACCGTGCTGACATCAAAGGTCGAAGCTCCGGTATCGACAGAAAATCCTGCGCCGATCACTGACAGTATCAAAGTCTGTGCAAAGGTTGCTGAGACGGTGGAGGGCGGTGGTGACCAGCCACCTCTGAAGAAGCGCAAGTATCAGCGGCGCACCTTTATCAAGGAGACCACACCACCCGCAAAGACCCGAACGCCCGGCGATTATACTCTTACGCCACTGTTGCTATCAGAGCCGCAGACGGCATGGGTTCGCTGCATGAATTGCGAGACGGCATTTGTGCAGCAGAATGCGTACTACACCAAGAGTTCGTGCCCGCGCTGTGAACGCCACTCTAAGCTATACGGTTACATTTGGCCGAAGACTGAGAGGGCCGGGCCTCAAGATAAGGAGCAGCGCATATTGGACCACCGCCTCATCCACCGGTTCCTAGGGCGCGACGAAGAGGCGCGTATCCGGGGACGAAAACGACCCGCAGCGAGCACATCGGAGACACTCGAAGATTACGCGGGGAGCAGACTTGGAAACAAGCGGCTAAGGATCGCGGGTGCAGAGTCCGGGGAAGGCGAAGATACGAGCGGGTTACGACGGAGTGGTCGAATGCGCAAGGCCAGCATCAAGGTGGCAGAGCCGTAGGAGAGGCGTGGCGCGAGGCAGCCAACCGGAGCGGTCCGGGATCCAGCCGGAGAGAAACTCTCCCCAGTCCGGGGCTCCAAAGGCTCCCACCGTGGCTTTTCCTTGAACGCAGAAACGAACGACGGGGATTTATAATTGGAACATGGGGAAACATGAGGTGGAAAAGGCGTATGTCTTGTGTTTCATTGCGACAGCACATTTCTGGCTTGGGATTTTGGTTTGGTCTTTTTTTTTTTCCCTCCCCCAGGTTTATTTTCCTGCTATGCATGCATAATGGCATGCACACATGTGCAGTACATAGTAAAAGATACCATAGCTCCTCGCCTTGCATACTACTGTCCGTCTGCAGGGTGGCAGAGGATGCACAGGGGACTTTTTACCTAGGTAGTCCTCCCCCCCTTCGATTCTGGCGTGGTGTTGAGAGACAACATTCCAGCCATCTGTCTTGGCTGGTAAGCTACTTTAGATAAGGAGGAATTGGATGCACACACACAGACACAGAGCTATATACAAGGGACCAAAGGGGAATGTCCATTGAGCCGGAGAGGCGAAAGAAAGAATTGATGAGAGAGAGGATAATCTACTTCTTCAAGACGAGGACATATTTCTCTACGTGCCGCCGCCTGCTGCTTTCTCAACTTTCCTTGATCTTCTTTACTGCGTAAGGAAAGGTATTGTTTGTTTTTAATTCTTCCCCTTGCCTGATCCCCAACCGTCGTCGGATTCGGACATTCAGCTTATCAAGCAGCCCTCAGCGTACCTCGTACCTCATGCGAGTTTGCTTACTTGCGTTGCTGCACATCTTTTGCTGATGGTTTCGGTCGGCGACCGAAAGCGACTTCTCTCACCAAAAGCAAAGACGTAGGAATTGGCCTTGGTTATTGTTGTTGGCATAAACACACATTCATACTTACATACATACCTTCAGGCTGCCTTGGGCACACCTCAACCTTGTCCATTTATCTTCCTCGACCTCGACAGATACACGACGACTTACATCGACCACTGCGACCTCCACCTCATCCACACCTCAATCTCACCTCTCAGAGCTCTTCTCACCCCGCCGCCTTGGAACAACCTGCATAAAAACGGTGTCGTCGCGAACGGTGCGTCGCTAGCAACCTGCGCTAAGGCAAGCAAACCCTATCCTAGGACCTAGGAAGCTTTGCCTTTTCCTTTCCCTGCTCTTCCTGCCCTGCTTGTCATAAAGCTCGAGCACACCTCACTACCTATCCTTAGCTCGGGTCCTGTCGCTTGCTCGCAGCTCACCACCACTCACCACCCATCACTCACCGACCTATATCTTGGGCCCCTCACCTGCCTACTATTAAGTTTGCTCTCGGGACCGTTTCCCAAGAAACCGAGCCAGAGTTCTCCTATTCTCGTTTGGATCTATATCCTTTCATCTTGGTACCCTCCGTCCCATCCAACCCTTCCTCGCAATTTATCGCGAAGTGTGTGAAAAAGGGGGAGGGGCATCCGCCGTTCATCATGTCAACCGAGACCTTTACACAAAAGACCATGATGAGTGCCGACCTCTCGGGGCCGCACAATTATCTCGACTACCAACACCAATACCAACACCACCTGTACAACCCGGCACCAAGGCTCTCCGCCCTCGCCTATCCGCACCTTTCCTCCCGGGGCCAGACTAAGCAAGCCAAAAGGCGGTCGCTGACGGCGGCCCGGCAACAACCACGACAACCGCAACCACAGTCCTTGCATCCCCTGACGACGCTGCTGGCCGTGATATTCGATTTCTTTTTGAGGGGCATCCTGGATCTTACGAGGCCGCCGAGGGAGCTGGTTAAGTTCACCGTCATGGGCATCTTCGATACGCTGTGCTGGGCCTATCATGCACTGCCAATGCCGCTCGCGCTCGGTCTTCTCTACTGTGGGTTCCAGAGCGTCCCGGACGCGCTGCACGGCGTCGAGGAGCTGCGGGTGATTTACAGCACGAGGCTGGGCGGTGATGCATTCCCCGGGAGCGCATCCGGCATTGAGGGTCTCTACGGGCTTGGCGAGATGGCTTTGGTGCGATGGGGTGATTTAGGAGTCTGGTCGGTAAGTTGCATCTTTTATTCTTTGCGTTTTTTGACATCATTCTTCTCTATCCCTCCTTCTGCTTGGATGATTGATTGCTTTGATCGTCTCCGGTTTTTGCATCATTCTCCAAGACTGGAGAGGTTATACAAAACATGAAGAGTATTGAGACTGATGTTTTGTGGTTCAGGCGTTTTACTGTCTCGCTTTGATGACGGCAGCATATGCGGTCATGGTCCTCTTGGAGATGCGCGACTACATCCGCGACACCTGGGCTCTCATTATGGACGAGGCTCTCGAGGTCCAGGCGTTGCGGGCGGACGAGTGCTAGTCGACGCCTCCGGAATTTCAGAAGGGGTGGTTTAGTCCTCTTTTCGCCTCGCTTTTCACCCTTCTTTCCCCTATTTGGGCCTTTCTGGACCTTTTTGGGGCAATCGGAATCCCATCCTGCCCTACGGTCGCGGGGTCGGCATTCGGCGCTGGTTGCTAGGCGTCATTTCTATCTTTTTATTTTCGTTGGGGGCGAGAGGTGAGAATGTGTGTGATAGGGAGAGAATCGGCGGTCGGACTTTTGGAGATCTTCATTCCCCGAATCCTGGCTTTCACTCTCCTCTGTCATTCTCACTCTCATTCTCACTCTCACACACTATCATCTCATTCAATGGGATCAGCAGGCGTCGACCAGTACAAAAGTTTAAACGGCTAAAAATGGGTATATATGCTTAGGCGCTTTGGGCAAGAGTTTCGCATCTCTTGGCGTGGATTTCAATTCTCCGTTTCTTCGGATGACGAAAATTGATGAGTTTTGCTTTGGGTTTGGAACTTGGAAGGAAAGAAACGCAGAAAAGATTGCGGAGAAAACATTGGGATACAGCGAGACTGAACTTAGAAGGCACCCGATGCAGAAACTGTCACAGTCGCAGTCACAGTCGCATTCGCGGTCGGCTGGCATCGGTGGACGCTTCATGATGATGATACTACAATACCTAATAATGAACAAGACTGTTGTCTGTCCTGCACTCTCGTTCCTCCTCCGTCCATTGAGATGGGTGGAAGAAGAGTGTGGGCAGTCATCAAATTTCGAGATGAACTCGATCTCAGCTCAATCATCCTTTGCAATCCTCCCAGTCCGCTCCTCTGACCGACGCAAACCTACCACTCAGCTCCGAGTCCCGTTATCATGATTCCAGATTCCCCCGACTGGGCCTTATAATTCGAGGTGCACTTTTGCTTTGACTTCGGAGCACTCATTGGACATGCTTCTTTGCCCTGCTGCAGCCAACAGGCCACCCACACGCCCAATCATTGGGCGCCACAACCATTCCCTGCTTTTGCTCGCTGCATCTTCTCTCCACATCTCTCGCTTCCTCTTCATCAGTTCACCAGTCTCGGTGTCTCGGTCGCCCTCTCGCATCGACGCTCCGATCCCTCGTCTCCTTGCTGACGAGTTGCTTTTTCCTATTCCCCGCATTCTTCGACTAATCAGACACTCAAGATACCAACAGCAGACACAGACATGGGTGGGCCGCAGTCAGCTCAGCCTTTTGCGGCAGAGACAGAATGGGGGTTACATGTTCGTTTCCTCTCTATCCAGGGCTCCGGCCGACTGATTCGGACCTCCACTCCACGGTCTGGGTTCCGCCCTACCACAAGCCACCCACCCTCTTCCCCCCGTGGCCCCCGTTCCAGCCGTCTCGAAACGGAGAACCATCTTTGGCGAATTTAATCGACCACCCCAACTTTCTAGCACACTCTTTCTCGAATCTTTACCAATCAGAGCTCGCCCCGGCGCAGACGATCAGGCTGGCTGGACTGCTGTTGGACCTTGGATGCCCGATTCTCCTGTAAATACCACGTGTCGTGCTGGGCAGCTGAGGCAGAAGTGCACGAATAGAGCAGAATTAGGTATACCATTTTCCAGCCCTTCGTTGGTCAAAGTAGGGGTACCTACTTCGGAGAGTTCTTTCTCGGCCGTAGGAGATCTACATCCCATCGTTCTCGCCACACGTTCGGAGTTGCTGGGATGACCGTAGGGCCGGCCGCGACCGTTGGAGATTCTTGTTATAAGGTCGCATGTCAGACCCAACTCTACCTACCTACCAACTCCGGAGTTCGCGAGCCTTATTCTGCTGTGCTGACGATGAGATTCCTTCTGGGACATGCTTGACCTTGCTTGACCCCGCGATTCATGTTTGCATTCGGAACCTTTTATTGCTTACGCTGCCTTCCGGAAAGTCTCTGCACACTCTTCCCCTTTTGATTCTTCTCCTTTCCCCTTTATACACAAAAAGTCGTATCCCGACATTCTTCATCCGCTGATTGCCGCGCGTGGGGTGATTGAACACCAAGGGAACGTGAAACAACAACAGCGCTTACCGTCTACGCCCGCGATCCGATCGACGACTAGCCCCAAGTGGTTGATATCTTATCAGGAACAGCAAACAGACCAGAAACTTTGGCTTGGACCTAGTCGAAATGTTGAGAATGTTTTCCGACATGAATGGGCTTGGGGGTTCGCTTTTGGTTGTCATCGTGCTGATGGCTCTGGTCTTTGCCGCATCCAGATTCGACTTTGTAAGTGTTTCACTCTTGGGTGTGGTCAAGTGGTGCAGCACCTCCAGCACCACCACCACCACACCTTCGCCTTCGGATAGCGACGGTACTAATCGGCTTATACAGGTCCTGACGTCAGGCAAGTCCAAAGATGGTGATTTGGAAGGGGAGGATGATTCGACTTACGCTTTCTACGCTTCCAAGAGGAGAAGGGCTTCCAGTGAGTTGTTGTGCATGGTGTCGACGTGCTATCTATTGACGACATCCAAAGGTGTGAAGCGAGTCACTTTCGACATCTAGCGACGAACGTACGCGTTGGACTGCATGCATCGACGGCAGCATCTTGGAGTATCACCCAATGTTGTTTGAAATTGTAGGGTTTCATTTTTGTCATGAAAGGCTAGGCGCACTGGGACGGCAATGGAGGAGTTTTTGTTTACGGCAGCTCATCGCTCGCTGTCAGCCTTTACACATCGTCGTAGCTTCAAGTTCTAACTGAGAGCACAAGTTGTTCAACTATGAAGATGCATTACCTACTGCAAAGATACGCAAGACGCAAGAGGTCACTAAGCCTAGCCGTTGCACAGTACTACACGAGGTTGCATATATTATTACCACTCTCATCAGCAGCAACCGAAAACTGAGAACTCTGCTATATGATTTGTTTGATAGGCATCTTTAGATGTTTGCGCTTCCTGGGCGCCAAAAGTGAACAATTCTATCGACGTAACATACGCAAGATGACGACTTTTGCATTTATAGATCGTTACGGACATGTGTGCTGGGTCAGAAAGAGGTGCGCTGACTTACGTGCGAAGAGTTTTTAAAATCATGTTCGAGCTGAAGCAAAACATAAAGTAGGGATTACACTCGTGAGAAGAAACGAATTGAAGCGACACTCATGAAAATTACAAACATGACTCAAACCTTTTCCTTCCTTTCAGGCTGTTAAAGCTTCATTTTTTTCATGGACGAGAAGGTCGGGCTCTAGTCCTCAGTACTTAATAGATCCAACCACTGCCTGGGCTTTGCGAAGCCAAGTATGTGTCTTGACGACTTGATCTCGGGCTTCTGCCCTGATGTCTTGCTGTGTTGTTGCAAGCTCGGCCTGGATCTTATTGCCTTCGATAGTGTCGATACCTTCAGGGTTATCTCTCGTATGGACCAGCGCATAGACATCCGTGTCCGACGCCTCATCATCCTAGAAGCCCCACAACTACCGGTGTCCCACCAACTAAGTACTGATTTCGTGTCCAGAAGCTTGTCTGGCTGGCCATTCTTGCCCTTGGCCCAGGTGGAGATCACGAACGAACCCCGGCTTCGAGCTCGGTTGATCTCAGACGCTGTGAGTTTGGGTCCTTTTCTGAATCCTGGACTGGGGAGAATGAAATGACCCCTTAGTCTGGGATAACCATAACCAAGATCGGCTGTGTTGGTGACATCCTGGAATCGTTAGACGCTGGCAATCACGGGCCTCGTCGGAATCTTACATTGGATATCATCGGGCGCGTGTCCCCGGGTGTGATCTTCTCCTTGGTGAATGGCTCAAGAGGCGTGTCGAGGCCCCGCTGTGCCTTTGAGGCCAGGTAGGATATCCAGCTGTTTGGACTTGTTGTGAGAGTCCTACCACTTCCAGAACATATAGTCCATGGAACAACGGTGGAAGAAGAAAATCGGATCGAATGCCGCCGTGTCATTCTCACCCATATCGCCGTTTGCGAATGGATAAACGTCGACATTATCATCTAGCTTACTGGGCACGTCGAAACCCTCAACGGCTAAATGCATGGAGTTGTGAGGCTCCTCGAGAGAGACCACTACAGAATGGAAACCACGCCTCACCCTCGTTTTATTCCAGTCCTGGGCGGAGTTCGCATTTGAGAAGACAGTGTAATTGGGGGCATCGAGACATTCTTTAAATTTTGCGCAATTCCCGCATTTACCTCTTCGCCTTTGTAGTTCTTGAATATTTTGAGATTGAGCCAGCATGTAATATTGCCGTTCAAGAGTTCAGTAGGCTTTCCAGGCGGCAGATTGTTCACTTCGGCATTGTGATCCGAGGTCTTTGTGTTGAAGTCGGCACTGACCAGTCCAGAGTAGGGGTATCGCACTGTCTCGTACCCTTTAGGCTTTGTGTAGCCATCGGAAAAGTCTTTTCCTTGGCCGTCCAGATCATGCCTGTAACTTGTAGAAGAACAGTGGATTCGGGACAAACGATCCATCTTTGAACCTGTAGTCCTTCCGAGTGAAGAGATCGGGCAGTCTCTTCTCCATTGATTCATTCGACCATTCGTTCCAGTACGGCAGAGCAAGATTGCTGCATCCCGGGGCACTCCGCAAAGCATTCTCTAGTCGCAAGAGGTAGGCACGGTGCCATGTGGGAAACAACACAGTCCCATGCTGACATTACGTTGGTGCGGGAAGGCCATGATACCCAGCAATGGTGAAATATGAAATCTTGTCGTCTGGCTTCAGGCTGATGACGTGTTGAAATGCTCTGACAAGGGTATCAAGCTCATCCTGATTGAGGGTAGCAAGATCTTTCCTAACACGAGGCTTGGACATCGTCTGTAGATTGTAGTTGATTCTATGAGATGACAAGAATATCCGAGCAAGTGGGGTAAGATTCAAAGGCAAAATTTGGTTGTGTTGAGCCTCTCTTGATGTCAAAGAAGGGTAAACAAATCCTACACAATCATCAGGAGGATCGTTGCCAGTATTCATGGACTTTCGCCGGGGAAAAGCTCTACCATTTTCTACCCTTCTGACTATGGATTTATAGGTTTGTTTGGTTCAAGTATGATCTCTCGCACATTACTCATGATGCAGGTCACACGCGCAAGCAGGTGGTCGTTTATGATGGATACTGCGCTTGGCACTTAACACTTCACCACTGTTTTGGTATATAGACACTTTGCAACCACCAGGCAGCAGTACACCAGAGATGATCATCTGGGTTATGTGGTACTTGGTTCCTTCATGATCCAAGGCAGACCAACTGCATGTCTTGAATTTATGTGATATTAATGCAATGCGGCCCGTGCCACTGTGCCGGGACGAGACTGGCTGAAGGCTGATCGCCGTTTTCAAAGGAGCTGAAACCCCGAAAGCAGCCAAGAAGCATCACGACAGCATCGTAGAAACAGCGGTGAGCACTGGGGTTGCCCTGACCATAATCAGTGTTTTCGCATGATTGGTCATCCACGGAATCGGTCAGCAACTACATGGCTGATGGGACTATTCTCACCCATTACGTTGGCGATAGTAACATCAGTCACAAGAGACTCAGGTTTAATGGCACTTGGAGTCAGTGTAGCCCATGTGTATCTGAGTGAGACAAGAAGCATCAATTGCCCAAACTTATAATTGGATTTCCAAGCAGTCGACCGAGTACGTTCGGATGTGATACACTCATAGTCACCATGAACGCGGGTACATTGTATCTGAAAGCGAAGAGATTGACTTTAGCAGACGTGGTTGACATATATCAATGGGGTTGATCGGCGGAAGCTAACAATCACCAATGAGGTTGCATTTAGAGCTGATCATTGCCCGAAATTCAGACACAAGTAGCTGATAGGAATTAAGAACCTAAAGTCTAGGTGCATGTAACTCTCATGTAAGTCTTCGGAGAATTGCCGGTCTGGATTTGGCAAGCATAAGCTTCACTTGAATCACTTCGCTCTAACCCTCATAAGCTATGGGAACCCTCTTGTGCCGACTTGGCACGTAACGGTTGATACGTGGACTGACTTGGTGATCTGCATTCGTCGTAAACGCGGCGTATGCAGATTCACTTCGCTATTTCGCGTGGTTAAAAGCAAAGCTCCATCGGGAACAGAACCAGGAACACTAATCTCTATCGATCAATAGTCTCAGTAGAAAAGCTATATCCTATTGTCGGATTGGAAGTCCAATTCGACCTCGAGGCAGCAGACCCGCGCAGGGGCCACTGACAGACCATACTTACGATATTCGTGGCCTGCCCCACATACGCTCCTTTTTACACCTAACGCAGAAGTTCATATAGATCAATTGACCTCTTCGTCAACCCACGGTTCGGACCAACTACCCTGTGATGGGGAAATCAATGACAACCAAACTTTGATCTTATACGCATTTAGGTGATGAGTTGACGACTGAGGAGTAAACTTTTCGTTATGAACATGGCTCCTTCGACAAGATTACTTGACTTCAATCGACGAGATTGGAATGATGATAGGTAAACTACCTTCGCACCGACAGTAACTAAACGGCTGAGTTGAGGTCAGTTTTGGGGCTCAAATGCGAGCGTCGAGAGTCTGCGATGCTTGAGAACTAGTTGCTGTTGCTGTTCGTAGAGAAATTGGGGGCCTTGGTATGATGTCGCCAACGTGAACTCGGTAGAAAAAACATACAACTTCGGAGTAACCGACAAGACCTTGGTCGATGATTTGGATCGTCAACAGCCTCTGAATCGCGCTGACGCAGTACCTGTCCCTGCGGCTGTGGCTGTGGTGGCGCAGATCACCTTCGCCGGGCAACACTGTCACGCTGTGCCACTGGATTCCCATCACGCGTGTGGCTGTGAAGTAGGATCACTAGGCAGACGCAATATGGAGCAAAGTCTTAAAGAAGCAGAGGTTTCCAATAGTAAGGATTACTGCAACTAAATCATCACGAACACGAAAAACGCGAAAAGCATAACTGCATCATACTCAACCGTGTCTCGCAAGAAAATGCCGTCCGCTTCCCAATACTCGAACATGAAGCCACTTCCCGATGCCCCTGCAGACGAAGCTCCGCCGCCGTACGAAGAGAAACCCCGCACGCGTCCGGCACCACCGCCGCCCCGAACGAGTCCAGGGCCAAGCTCAGGGCCAGGACCGTCGTCGGGTCCGCAGGTGGTAGCCCGCCAGTTCCCGCCAGCCTTTAATGTCTATTCGCAGAGCTTCAGCAGGACGATGCTTCTCGGCGAGCACCAGAGCCAGCCGTTCTATGGCATGTCGATACACAGCGGATTGAGCAGCTCGCCGCCCATTGTGTTGCATTCTGGCCCGTCGGATAGGTTCCCGCCGCTCGCGTCAGTAGAGTACCACGGCTTCAGCAGCAGAATGAGCATAACGCTGCCACCTGCGCCTATTCGTACACCAGGCGGCGGGCCCATCATCGAACTGGAATCAAAAAGCGATTTCCCGTCGTGGAGCTACATTTTCGCCATAGGCGTTGGACCGAACTGCGAAACACTTGAGCACTTTGAATGGAGGACAAGCTCTGGCGAAGCGATCGCTGCGCTGGATGGCCGAAGCAGGGGTTGGAAGCTCATCAGGCTGGCTCAATCAGTGCCCCAGAATGCCGGACCAGGTGCATTCAGGGGAGGTGATGGAAAGGAAGTAGTCGCTGTCTGGACGGATGCCGGCATGAGCATGACAAAGTTGGCCAAGTTTGCGTTCATGGGCAGTGGGTTGACGGGTGAGCTGGGCGAACGGTGGGCAATTATGGCCGTCATATCTGGCTTGGCCATCTTTGAGAGACAGAGACAGCGAAGGCGAAACAATCACTAATCTCTACAACCGCCAAGGCTGAGGAGACGGAGTTGAAAGATTGATGGATGAGCTCACGATTTGTAAGATGCCCAGGCGCTCCAGGGAACCGTTTCGTTTAGTTTAGTTTTGATACCCGTAGACCTTAACAGGCGATTGAACTTGTATAGTAAAGATAAGATCGCTTTCAATGATTCACTGACTCGAAGTTATGAGCGCAGTTGCGGCACGCCTACCGGGCGGGCGTGTGATGAAAGGATGAGCTGCCGTGTTTGAAGTGATGCCACCTGGCTGAGCAGCTAGCGCTTCTTTTGACTGCGCCGCCAGGGGCTTTTCTGCGCGTGCATCATGTTGAGTGAAGCGACAACCTCGACTGTGAACTTGGACAGGCCGAGTCAGGCGGTCGCTATTAGGAGAAACCGTCGCCAGAACATTCTCAGTCTGGATCAACTACATAGGGCAATGATCAACTCGGCCGAGAAAGAAGACTACGATGGAACCAACATAGCCAAGCTTGGTGTTCGTAGATTCGATCGACTCTCCACGAAGGCATCCCGGCGTCGTCGCATCGATCATGAGATTTTCTACAGAGTGGACTCGGTGGCTGGGTCATTCACTGCTGGGAAGAATAACCAAGAAGGAGGGATTTCCATAAGATCGGCGATGTTTGTGTGCGGTACGCAGGCACGCAGGTACGCGCTCGTCGATCGGCTGAAAAGGGGGTGGGAAACCCTTGTTGGGTCTCTGTGTGGAACATTGGGCCTTGAACTGTGGAGTAAGAAAGGAAAAGCTGTGCGTGATGGTCGATGTGCGGTGAAGCGCTGGCGCGCGGACAGGGGTTGGGATAGATTGAAATGGGGAAGATGATAGGGATGGGATGACAAGGCCGTAGCCGTGAGACCCGGGCGGTTGGCAGACGGATCACGGCACGGGGCTCCGAGCAGATCTTCTCGCTCTCGTGGCGTCAGTCAGCAAAAAGAGAGTTATCCGTGGAAGTGGTCAAGCGGTGGATGACGGAGACTGGAGTCGTCCAAGGGGGGTAAAGCCAATGCTCATGTTCTGCATTGATGGATACAGTGGCCTGCTCATCGACGTCGTCACTAGCCTCGGGCCAAAGCCGCCAAAAGCATATTGAGGTGGGCAGTGGGCACGGGAAGTCTATTGGCAAAAGCATATCACGCATACTGCTTATACTGTGTGTGAGGGGGGGCGGCGGGCATCTCCCTACTTTAAATCAATCTCGCATCGACGGAATCCTTCGCTGGACTCGTGGAGTTGTACAACAATGCCGCTGTCCGCTGGACACCTGGGCCAAGAAGAGATCAAGTGTAATTTCAACTTGGACTTGAACTGGGCATGGCTTACCCAGCAGAGATGCTCAGAACGGTCGTTGCTCCCGAGTTCGGGCGCGCGCCGCCACATGGCCCCTCCTGGTCCATCGTTTGTTGGGTCCTCTTCCCGTGCTCATGTCCGAAAATTGACGGGAAAAAAGAAGAAAAGAGAAGAGATGCAGGGCGAAACCAGGTCAGACTCCAGAGTTATCAGTTGGCTCCTTGACTCTTGAGAGCCGCTGAAGCCCCGTTCAATTTCTCGATCAAGCCTGCCGCCTGCCAGTGTCCAGCAAGAAGAGCCCAGAAGAGGGACATTCAAGGAATAGAAGCCACCAGCCTGGCCGTTTTAGCCTGCCGAGCGGTCTAGAAAAGGCGACCAGGCCTGTAATTATAATGTTTGTGCCCGTTGCCCAGCCTGCAAGCTGCAAGCTGCAAGAACAGAGATCATGAGGAGTCAAAAGACCCAGCCTAGAAGCGCTCAGGTCAGCAGCTGGCGGCGGCAAAGTCGTTGGTTGTGACAGGGCAGGATTCTCTTCTGGGATGAAGCAGAGAGGATTGGTGGAAAAGGGGAGGGAACTGCAACTCAAGGAAGTCCACCAGGCCAGGGAAACGTCTGTGCCATGCGTTGCGCAGGGGGCAAAAGTGGTTTTTTTTTTCACAGAACGATTCCTAGCCATGATGCGTGGGCTCGGAGGCTCGAAGCGTGGTAACCCCTGAGGTCCCGCCACGACGGCCAGGACGTTGAGCCTCTTTCGGGAAGTAGCGCGTAGAGTGTTAATTGAGGCCGCGGAGGCTGCAGGGCGAATCTGGTGATAATTAAGAAAAAGGGGATGGGTCTCAGGACTTGGCTGTTTCAGGGTGGCCGCCGGGATCTGACGGGGATCTGACCGGGGGCTCCCGGTGGTAGACGCCGGCATGACCAATCGGTTCGGCCAGCGAAGCTCGGGAGTGGATTCACATGCCCCGGCCTACATGGGATGAATCCTTGCTCGCGTTGTTCAAGTTGAGCTCCAGCCCTTGTCTAGTCTCCTTGACGAGGCCATCGAGGGGGACTTGCATTGTCTCACCTTTTGGCGCATGTCAACTGAACTGACATTTGCTTCTTCTCCCAACTGACAACGACATGGCAGTTGGCCGAGCCATCAGCAAGTTCTGAACTCATCATGGCCCATGCTTCCTACGCATATCGTGGCATGGATAGACCTATCTACGCTTATGCTAGCGCCCGGAGCAGCCCACCGACTTGAGCCTGTCCAATATGTTTGCATCACGCACACCAGCGTAAGCGCAGTCGGCACTCGCCTGTTGCTCTCAGAAAGTCTTGGATATCTTGCCCCCCTTGAGGCTTGAGCCCCTCGTGCCCCTCGTCATCCCAGGTATCTGAATCCAGGCTTCCCAGGCTGCCCAGCAGCGTGGAAGGTGTTGCCCAGAGTCTATTGGCTTCTTCCCCTGAGCCACATCTTCTAGATCCAAGCCCACCACTCACAGTACACCAAATCCAGAGAGGACCAAGACCCCCAAAGACCACCACCCACATCCCAATGATCCCAGCCGTGCCTGTCTCCCGCATACGCGAGATCCCCCTCCCCTTGTTTATCCCCACCACCTGGCCGGATATGATTGTCCTGCGTATAATTGAAACTTTGGCGGAGCGGCGGAAATGGTCCTCTTAATCTTGACCCGATGGAGTTGAGAAAGGACGCCAACGGCGCAAGTGCCCGCGTTGGGAAAACAACCTACGATGCCCTCCCGTATATATCATCACCTCTGCCCGGCCTCCCTTTGCCTTGGACTTCCTCTCCTACGATCCATAGTGTTCAGCTTCACTTGACTTGTGTGTCTATCTCATTCCTTCGTTCAACTTTTGTCATTCTTTTCACTTGACCAGGTAGTCATTCATTTTTTTCGGTCCTTGACCTCCAATAACACTCTTTCCACCCAACCGACCTCGATATTCTCACAGTCAAGCCAACCCCCTTTTTTGAACAACTCTCGAAAAACAAACTACAAATCGCGAAAATGAAGTCCTCTATCGCCTCCCTTCTTGGATCCGCAGCCCTGGCGGCTGCCCACGGTTACGTCTCTGATGGTCTCATCGGTGGCACCAACTACACCTTCTACCAGCCCTACCAGGACCCGTACACGAGCCCGGCCCCCGAGCGTATCTCCCGTCCCATCCAGGGCAACGGCCCCGTTGAGGACCTGACCAGCATCGACCTCCAGTGCGGTGGCTACACCGCCGGTGGCGTCAAGGGCTCCTCCCCCGCCAAGCTCGTCGCCGAGGCCAAGGCTGGTGACGAGGTCACCCTCAACTGGACTCTCTGGCCCGAGTCTCACATTGGCCCTACCATCACCTACATGGCTAAGTGCGCCGGTGACGACTGCACCACCTTCACCCCCAACACCGACAAGGTCTGGTTCAAGGTTCAGGAGAGCGGCCGTGAGGGCACCTCCAACACCTGGGGTGCCACCTCCCTCATGACCGCTGGCAACTCTGGTGTCAAGTACACCATCCCCGAGTGCCTTGCCCCCGGCCAGTACCTCGTCCGCCACGAGATCATCGCTCTCCACGCCTCCTACTCCTACCCCGGCGCCCAGTTCTACCCGGGATGCCATCAGATCAAGGTTACCGGTTCCGGCAGCACCAGCCCCTCTGACCTGGTTGCCTTCCCCGGTGCCTACGCCGCCACTGATGCCGGTATTACCTACGATGCCTACAAGGCCCAGGAGTACACCATCCCCGGCCCTGCCGTCTTCTCCTGCTCTGGCTCCGGTTCCGGCTCCGGCTCTGGCTCCGGCGCTGCTTCCTCCGCTGCCCCCGTTGCCACCTCCGCTGCTGCTACCTCCGCCCCGGCCGCCACCTCTGCCCCCGCCACCTCTGTTGCTTCTGCTGCTACCCCCAGCCAGACTGCCACCGATGATGAGGAGGACTGCCCCGTCGAGTCTGCCTCCGCCACCGTCAGCGCTGCTGCCACCGTCCCTACTCTCGCCGCCGATGAGGAGGAGGACTGCCCCGCCGAGTCCGAGGTCCCTACCGCCACTGCCACCGCTGCCCCTGTTGCCACCCCTACTCAGGCCGCTGACGACGACGAGGACTGCCCCGCTGAGTCTGAGGCTCCCGTCGCTACCTCTACTGCCGCCGCCCCCGTCGCTACTCCTACCCAGGCTGCCTCCGACGATGAGGAGGACTGCCCTGCCGAGTCCTCTGCCCCCGTTGCCACCCCCACTCCCACCCAGGCTGCTGACGACGAGGAGGACTGCCCTGTTGAGACCCCCTCCGCGACCGCTGTCGCCAAGCGCATGAGCATCCACGACCGCCGCATCCAGGCATAAGCAATTTCCACGATTTCACTGTTTATCATGGGACTTGGTCTCGAGGGTTGAGACGACCCAGATGGCTCAGGGGGTGAGATAGCTATCCGGCTCGTAGTGGGTGTTCACACTTGTGGCGTCCACGAATCTGATTCGGTCCAGGACCAAATCTCTTTCATGTACAAAGTCTTTCCTGTATACCGATTTACATAAAGTATATATCTTAACGATATAGATCGTACCATTTGTCACGTTCATAATCTGCTCAAACTACCTTCGACTTGTACCGTGACTGTATGAGAGACCTCCTTTGTAAGAAGCGGGTTGGAAAACATCCCGTCGGATGTTCCGTTCGAAGATCAGATGAACTCGGGTTCCTGAAGCCTGCTGACGAACGACTCGCTCAAGTAGTTTCAACTACATTGAAATAAGGCCCAGTTTATGAACCCTGTCGGGGTAGCCTTAGCGCCGTCGTTTTCAATAAAGATTACTATGATCGCTGTTATCGCAAAGCTTGACAGGCATGATCCTTTCAATTCACTTCAAAGGTGCGAAGGCCTCGGCAAGTCTCGGATGGCCAGACTTTCGCAGACCCTTGGTTCGCTGACAACAAGATACATGGAAAAGGGAAACCGGCACTACTCTCGCTGCATTCATACTCATCGCCTCGATTCAAAATCTGTTTTGTCAGACCTTTAAACGCTACCACCACTGCGCAAACTGGATTTCTCAGCTGCAGATCCTTGGACTTGAGAACCAGGAGCTGCGCGTCGCTCCTTCATCATGAAGAAAGCAATGGCACCGATGATAGCAACAACACCGAGAGTGACCATGGCACCAATAATACCGGCAACAGCGTTCGACATGCCTCCACCGCTCCCTGAGCTGGAGTTCACGGCCTCCTCACCTTGGTAAGCTGCACAAAATGACACAAGACTGGAGCAGGCGGTACACCACTCCTCCACGGTGCTGATGGCTCTCTTCTGCATCTCTTCGACGAAGCGCGGCCATGACAGAGTCTCTTCCGCAGTACCGAAAAGAGGAAACGCGGTCAGTTCGCCGAAGGTGCCGTTACGGAACAGGAAGCGCACGCGAAGGTCGGCATCGACATTAGCGGGGAACACAGTCGTGTTGTCGCTGACGAGCTCAAACGCCATCGTCGAGGCATAGTCCGGCAGACCGTAGAAATCATCAGAAATGGTGATGAGATCAGTAAGACCAAAAAAGGACATGAAAGTGTCGTAGCTCCCTGCGAGGAGGGAGAACTTGAGTTTCCCCTTGGAAGCAACGGTTTGGTTGAGTTGGGCAAGGATGCCAGCCGCAAGAGTCTTTGCATGAATGGTGCTGTCGGGCTTAGACGCATTGAAGTTGTAACCGAACTCGGCGCTGTCTGCCAATGTTCGCAGCTGGAAGAGCTCCTCATCCGTCACGTTCCGGGCCAAAGATGTGCTGTTGTGGATGCGAGCCACATTGACCAGGTCAAAGATATCGTACGCGTTCTTGTACGTCATGTTCTCGGGCTTGTAGTCGTACACACTCTCGAGCACATCGTAGAAGCTGCCGTAAAAGTCCTTGGTCTCCGTGACACGGGTTTGGAACTCTTCACTTGCTTCGAAGGCCTTGTAAGCCTTGGCGTTTGTGGGACATCCATCATCGCCCTTGATCCATATGGTGTCTGGTGAATTAGAGTTCTCTCCGTGAAGGAGAACATACTGGTAGCCGTTCAGGGGGCTTGTACTTGTGCTGCCGTTGTTGAGGGTCGACGACGCAACCTGAGCATTGAGGCCTACTAACGGAGGATAGAGACCTTGTAGGAATGCTGTGGCTGTGTTCAACAAGATGCCTTGGTCGGGGGCACTGGCGTAGATTTGCGAGGAGACGTATTTATCCTCGGAGATGTTGAGAATCCGACTAGAAGAGTCCGCCTCCAGATAGCGGGTTCGATAGTCACTGCCAACCTCGAAACACTGCTGGGCACCGACGCTGGTCAATGACTGAGCTCCATAATGCTTCGTTGTTCCTTTATTGAGGTGTCAGCTTGTATTCGAGGCTCAATTCAGCATGCATAAAACATACGATCTCCATGGCGACTGAAGACAACAACGCCATGGACAGTCTCGGCGGCTGCGGAGCCGACCAGTGAGATCACAATAGAAACAGCAGTAGGACGCATCTTGTTGAGCCCTTTTCCAAAATGCTTATAGTACCAAGCCTTGGCAAAGTGCAAAGAAGCCAGGTCTAAGAAGACAATGGCCGGCCTCGCGAGGATTTTATGCCCCCCGCCGAGCGGCCCAGCTACCCAAACTCATCCGCCGCCAAGCAGAAAATCTCGCCGTTGTCATCGAGTGATATCTCTGCTGAAGCGGGGAAATCTGCATCTCCCTCCAGTCCCGAGGAGCGGAGATGTTCAAAAGTCTCCTGGGCTACCACCGCCAAGCACTTGGCATGCATCGCGACAAATCAACCTTTGCGATAACAGCGGCTGTCGGCGGCAATGACACACTGAACCGGTCAGAGCCGGTATAGCGATACAGAATCAAACTGGCTCGTCTGGAAGTTAAGCTGAATTCCAACATATTTGCATATTTGAGAGAGCGCTGTATCTCTACCAGGACATAATTTGACAACCAATTGCGGCAAGTATGTTTGACAGTACGTATTGTCCTTAGATAATTAGACAACTCATATCAACTTAACCACTTGCGTGTTTAGATAGCTCTCCAAAGACTTCCAAGTAAACCAAGAGCGTTGTCACAATGCATGCAGTCAGAGATATGTTGAATCAAAGGAACTTGAGCCGCGGCAGGCCGAGTGGGGCATTAAGATACCCTTTGATACTCATTACAAACACAAGCTTTCGTCGAAGCCTGAAGGGAGACTTGCAATTTGGTTCCATGGTACTGAGCTTCCTAAACTGTAGTATTTACGGCCAATAAGAGTTGGCTCCCTTAAGTCCATGTCCGGATCCGAGAGTGTGTGGAACCTGTTTTGGAACCGTGACTGCTATTGTCATAGGCCAAGGGCAGGTCCAAGAAGAATGCAACTGAATGATAAACCAACAGAATTCTCAAAGGCCCCCCTTGAAATGGCTCGTTTACATGGACATGCTGCTCGCTTTGAAGCAATTGAGTTGTTGGAAACTACCCGAGTATATCGAGGTGTGGCGAAGACCGTGAATGTGAAGTCATGGTCTTGAGACATAGTGAGACGTACTCGTGTCGATTCACGTTTCCTTTGGTGAAAGAGAGATATCCACATTATCGAAGAAAAAGACATGAGCTTGCTTTATGGTACGTCAATCCTGGGCACTATTGTCAAGTCAACATCTAGCCTTAGTAGCAGGCGAACGCAATGGTCTCCTGTCGTATGGTGCTGATTGAGCTTAATGTCCCTAGACTTCAGAAATAAATAAGCGATAGAGTGAATTCGAATCTGAATCAGTTGTTTAAATTTCAGTAAATGATAATTGTTGATATATGTCTCTGGGAATGGGGTTCAATTTCATGACTCCCTAAATTGAATAATTGACCATGCCGAATTACTTTTCTTGGAGCAGGTTGCAAATGAGTAATTTCTTTTTCGGAATAATTTCAGCAAATCCACACGTAACAAAGGTCAAATGCAATGGTAGATATATTTTGTGTTGTGTGTAAGTCGTGCTGCTAAAATCGTAAAGGAGGAAAAGATTCGGCGATATTCTAGCTAAAAGCACAGAAGCAGTCGGATCGGATCATTCCGAAGGGCATATCTCATCTGGCCGAGAGTGAGATTACTCATTGACTACTCAACCACTTGTTCAATGACCACGTAGACGAATATCGCATTGTCTTGAGATCAAGCGTTTTCAAGTGATTGTCAGCATGGCTGTAATGAAGTGTGACTACCGGATTGCTTTCGTTAATTGTTTTGGGATAGACGCCTAGAAGGCCTAAACCGAATCTTATCACATTCGAACGCGATTCAAGTGCCAGTGGAGAAGACACGACGTCTCGAGGCACCTTTCAGATACCAAATCAAATGAGCCGTTTGACTTTGGGAATCTGTTTCGAGTTGGAACGGGTCATGACCTAATTCCTTGTCTTTCTGCTGTGGATCAAATCATGTATTATCGACTGCCATCGCCTTGAGCAAGAAGGGAATTGCGAAGCTGAGTTTTCATGTTGTAGAACGAGATGTAAGACTCAAGTATACTAAAGAGCAGGTGCGTTCGTAATTACTAAGATACCCTTCAAGTCTTTGAAACGAGTGAAATCTAGTTCTTACTCCCGAGTGCAACAGAACATGTTGATAATATATCGTACATCAGCGCCCTTTCGAGATGTAGTTAGGGAACAAGATCATATACGACCATTAGAGATGACAAGAACATGCCCGAGGTACTGCGTAGGTAACAATCTGGCCCATCGCCTGCGTGTTATTGCTGCGTACTGACTTCAGTGCTCGTATTCGAGGTATTCAACAGACGGTTCAATACGAAGTACCTTGCGCATGAGCCCAACTGAATTACATGGAAAGAACTGAGCAGTAGCGGGCCGACCGGGTTCACAAAGAACAAGTCCGTTCATATGATAGCGTAAGGAAAACACGTGATAGGCAAATTACGTTGGAATGTACATCATGGGTGACTGAGTGATATCTCTTAGCGCGATAAGAGAACATGGAAGCAGATAGATCAGGATATTTCTTCCAGACAGCCGCTAAGAGAATCTCATCACTGTACTGATGTTTGAATATCGAGCAGTTGCACAGCAAGATCCAGCTGTAAAATCGAGAGAGCGTGATCATATTACCAGTGTGCTTGCGAACGTCGAGATCTGAAACTAGGTTTGAACTTGCTCAAAGCTGGATTTGAGCGCCCGGCTTGAACGCCGTAGCCGCGGATCACTTGGCCGATTACATGCTAGACATGTCTCTGGTAGGTTTCCGGTTGTTAGACGTTGGGCGGTTGGATAAAGTACGATGAGAACCAGCCTATGGCGGAGGGGCGATCAGTGGCGCTTCTGCATTCAGCCAGCAAGAATGAGATGTGAAGCAGCGCAACTGTATAAAAAGCATCACGTCTGGATGAGAGCAGGTGCACGATGAAGGTTGTGCTAAGTTGCACAGCCTGAGCGGCTGAAGTACTTTGGGCGTTGTATCGGCTCGTCCCGACCCCCATTGACTTTATGTCTGACCTCTGCCATCCCAACAGTTGAGCTGGATGACAGACGTCCAGTCTTTGAGAGTGTTGATGAATAGAGTCGACTGTGAGTGTAACTCTCCTTAGCTGTACAAGTGATGGGTCAGTTTGGAACATCACCTGATGCACATTTGAAATTGGAATCAATTGCGTGATTGCTGAGTCTTATCTTGGTCGCATCATGTCCGACGGGCACTTGACCGAAACGATGGCATTGATGCGGAAAGCGAGGTTGTCGCTCGGTGAAAGATTGAGAAACAGGGGTTATGGTGTCTGGCCGGGGTCGGAACAGCCCCGTTGCGGCTATCGGTAAGACGTTTGATTGGTGAATGATTTCATCAGACCTTTTGATCGGAGAAGATTTCGGAGTCTGTGGATTGGCCAATGGCATGTTGCGCTGCTGAGTGAGAGCATTGGACGGCGGGATTGAGCAAAGAATTGACAACCATTTTGACAGGGAATGTGGGAGAGCTGAGTCGCCGACTGAACATTCGAATTCGGTCCAGGCCTGATCAGTTCATCCGCTCTCATTCATGATTCAAGTCCATATCCATGGATGCCGCTGGAAGTTGAAAAGGGCTTACATGATCCACGACGGTAACTATGGATGGAAGTTTAGTCATATTGAGAGAGAGAGAGAGGTGACAGAATTACGGAGACTGGGAGGCGAACGGCGTTAAGTTGACAAAACATGGGGAAAGGCGTTAGGTTTTAATCCAAGTGCCGAAGGAGGAGAGGATCCTCTCCAGTCTTCACCCATGATGATGCAGGAGCAGGTCCCCGTATTGAAGGCGCAAATGGGCGGGAATGGACGCGAATGGGAACAAAGGGGGCGTTCTCGAAGGCGACGAAGGCCCAGAGAGATGAGGTGCTTGGGGAACCCGTGGGCTGAGAGAATGACGCCATCGCAGGCTCGCGTTAGCTCATCCCGATTGGGGAGATTGGCAGCCAGGATGGCGACATTCCAGCCGGCCTTAACCTCATCGTCGGTACTCGGTCGTCGGGGGGGCCCAGAAGCTGTTGTCTGGGGATGCCTCTCTCAACCCGACTTCTCTTGAAGCTGTCTCCTCTGAATGCTCATCTTTACAGTACTTTGAGTACTACGTAGGTTCGTTCCTTCATACCCGTGTCTGGTGGATAAGTCACAAGTCTCCCGGGGACCCGCAGAAAAATGACGAGCTTGAATTTCAAGGTGTCGTAAGTTTTATGCCTGACATTGGGCAACGGGATTCAAGAATTTTACGGAGAGCGGATACGACGGAGACTACCCGGTTTCTAAGCACTTCAGTTCAGGCACAGCCTGGGCGTCTTTGTTGTTTGCTTGTTGCTAAGAGAAAATGAAAATTCTTCTGTAGGATCCAGATGGACTGATTCAAGGAGACCCAGCAGATGACGAGAGAGAAACTGCAAAAGACGTGGCCAAAGGGCAGCGATGAGCTAATCTGGGTCCAATGGAACGGGACTGGGCAGAATTGGCAGAATAGAGGGAAAAAAGATGAAGAGCAGGTGACTCTTTCGTGGATAGTCGTGGACCATTTTAGTGCTTGGTGGCGCATCTTGTTAGGTAAGCCCGACGTTAGCGAGTTGTGCACCTCGAGATTTCCTCGCCCACATCACAGATACTCCGTATACAATGGAATCTGGAAAGAGGCTCAACAGAGTCTTGAACGATGCAACCACCACGATGAGCCTCAATCGGTAGCGATGAAGATGAAACTGGGGAAATCGTGACAGATGACAGACGGGAGAAGAATAGTCGATTTGTGCTTCCCACCAAATGGTAGGTACCTATCTTACACGTGTTACCTTGGTGTATTGCACCTTGCTACCTTAGGTATTAGTAGGAGTACGTACTTGGGTACTTGTGGATGGTTGCTAGCACATTTGAGGGAGGTGCATCGCGGGGTGCCAGGTCTACCTGCCGTGCCTGCCAGGTCTACAATTCGTAGATGCCCTTTTTGGCTTGTTCGCTTGTCGGCGTAGCCTCCTGCCCT